TGATAAGCCATTAAAACAGTAAAAACACGTTCAGTTTCCTTTTGCTTTTTGTGTCTCCTGTACACCAAAACATACCCATCTGTGATGGAAAAATAAAGTAATCCAAAGGTAATCTAAAAGTAATCTGATTACGTTACTTTTTTAAGACACGTAACTGTAATGGCGCATTTCCACTACACGGTCGGCCTCGGCCACGCTCGGTACGGCTCGGTACGGCTTGGCCGCGTTGGGCCTTAACAGGGCCGACTCACTTCATGCTGCGCTTCCATTACAGTTTAGGAACTGGGGTAGTTACTATAGTAACGCAGTGTAGGCGGAGCCGTGACGTCATCTTCAATGAGAACTCCAGAAACACAACACAGCCGTTAGCTGTTAGCACTCAGAGCTCACAGCTCCTTATATATGTTCAGAAACTCGACAAAAGTTAAACAAGTACACACCACAGACTGCCTGTGTCATGGCGAATACAGTCGCTGCTTTATTTATGTCTGTATAGGCCGTTGTTGTGAGTGTGGACGGTCGGAGCATATACTGCGTTAGCTTAGCCAATCTCCATCTAGAAAAACACGCATTTTAAGAGGTTTTTCGCCTGCCGTCTGTCTGCAGACTTGTCAAAGCATTAATTCATGGTTTTTACTAACCGGTATCAGTATGTTGTTACTTCGGCATCATTTTGAAACGTGTATTACAATTAAATCACGGTCAAATATGTCCATCTTGTTGTAGTTGTAGCCCCCTTGCCAGCGCTCCTCTCTCTAGTTTAGCATACTCAGCCCGACTCAGCCCTGTTTGTTGGCCCCGATAGAACCACAATTTTGTCGGGCCAGAAAAGAGGTGAAAAAGTGGCCCCGGGCCGGGCCGGGCCGTAACTAGGCCTACTGGAAGCGCAACCAAAAACGGGCACGGCACGACACGGCACGCTTAAAGCGAGCTCCGCGCTGTAGTGGAAATGCGCCATAACTGTATTCGGATTACTTTCAGAGCCATGTATTCAGTAATCAGTAACTGATTACATTTACAAAGTAACCCTCCCAACCCTGATCGCGGGCCACATCAGCACTCAAAGGGCCGGTTGTAACTTTAAGACTATATAAAAATACATATATAAATATATAATATATATTAAATAATGTATTATATTACATTATTGCCTCTGCCTTGGATTATTATTAGATTAGGTAATAACTTCATAATTAACTACGTCTGAAAGCAGAAGTCTATGGCAAATAATTGAAAGCAAATATTCAACAATTACATCAATTGTAACTGATGGGCCTAATAAAGCTGTAACAATGCGTTCTCCTCCTGTTAGTGATATATGATATATACAGTGGGCATCATTGAAAAAAAGGGATGTTTTTGAATATAAAAAAATTGTAAATTTGACTCATTACTTTTTTTTTCTTTTTTTTTAGGGTTTACGGACAACTGGAAGTATATTTGGATTGCTGGTTTCGTTGTTGTTTTGGCATTTTTTATTTTTAAAAGATAATAAAAAAGATGTGACGGCTGTCGCTTGCATGCAGGAGAAACCCAAACAACACCATGTAGTGTATGATCACAATAAATGATTCATAAGGGAGAAAAAGTAATATGCATGTGTAATTATCTGCTTGATCTTGAATACAGAGGGATGCTATTATTGTGTTTACTGTATCATTTCTGTGAAGTTTGATTCAGATGAGTTTGATCATTTCAATTAATTGTTAAGCACAATATAGGGGAAAATAAAGGACAAATAATCAATCTGCATCAAGTAAGTGACTGGAGGTACAAGTTGTGTGGTATGTTTACATATTGAAATGTGTGTGCAGTAGAGAAGGGTACGGTCAAACCTCATCAAGATGTTATTACATGATTGCTGTTGATTTCTGCTCAATGAAATATCAAAAATAATGCTTTTGCTTCATAAAGAAAACAATCAAAATAAATCAATTTAAGTGATTCTGATGAAATGTGTCTCATTGTTGATAAAGATGATCAGAAAAACACAAACACTTGATCTTCACTCATAACAAGTAAAGATAAAATGTTTAGCTTCAATTACGGCTCACATGGCTACATTTGAAAGTAAACAAGTTTAAATACCAGATTATCTTTGGCTGATACCACGCCTACTGTAATAATAATGTCACCTGCCAACTCAACTCTGGGATCCTAGCCAGTCTCGCTAACAAAATAAATATTTAAGCTACAGGTTCTCCAGATGCAAGTTGAAAAGTCAAAGAATACAGGGCGTTGTTTATAACAACACATTCTCACTCCCAACTCGTACTATAGCGACGTTATGTCAGGATCCCTTGGCGTCACTATCAAACGACGTGGGGGGCCCTATAGCGTAGATTTTCAACTAACAGGGAGTCCCATTGACTTGCATAGAGTTCCCTGAACGTTGGTAATAGACGAGTTGGGATCGTGGAGAAATGCTCTCCGCCGACCCATTCTCACAGCGTTTATCAACCTTTTTCTTACTCAATATCAAGCCACATTTATTGTTTTTACTTCTTTATTTTAATTGTATAATGTCGGACTTTTGTTGCCGTCAGTTAGGGGGAGAGTAGGGGCTCAGAATACTGAAATCTGTATTGTTTCATCGTTTTTTCCTTCTAATTTTGTATTAACACACTCTCACTCCCTGAACGTCCAGGAGCGACGCTTGGTCAGGGTCCCGTGGCGTCCAGTTGTGACGCACCGAGGCTCCTTCAGCTTCATAAACGGACGCAAAGAGCTTTCAACTGATTGCAATGTATTCCCATCGGCGGCGGTATTTGACGCTCAGGGAAGCACCGCATCCGTTTATGTCGGCGGCTCTTAAAGGCAATGTGAGCGTCCATTCCCATTGGATAACGGAGAATTGTACACCCGGAAGTAAGTATTCTCCTTACTGTCGATTGATTTGACAGTGATATCTCCACTACTCATCAACTCAAAAACACCAGATTATCTTTGTTAATTAAACGACATTGATAGGTTTAAATTGTGTTCAATGCTTTTGTGTTTTTCCCCTTCAATTCTGAGAAACAACTTGTTTTCTCTGAAATGTGGAGCGCCAAAGAGACTACACTACCCACAATCCCCAGCTATTGTTGTGACGACGCCTGTCCACTTTGCGACAAACCTCGTGATACTGTAAGTCAACAAGCTCTGTGATTGGATGAAACATAAATTCGATTTGTTTTTGCATGTTTAACTGGGAATGTTTTCATGTTCGCTGATTGGATGTTTTAGCCGCAATGCATGTTGGGATATGGTGTTAATGCGATATGATATCCGAAAGAAAAATCAGAGTTTAGGATGGCCGAAGACACGACACTACCCATAATCCCCAGCTATCGTTTGGGACTACAGCCCCGTTGACAAACCCTGTGATTAATCTTCAAGCTCTGGGATTGGATGTTGGAGTGGCAGTGCGCCAAGGTTACGCCGAGTGCCAAGCTCTTTGAAATGGAACGAAACCACGGCAGACTATTCAAAACTGGACTCGAACGCCCCCCCAGAACTACACATGCTGGCTATTCCAACTGCACGCCACGGGACCCTGACCAAGCGTCGCTCCTGGACGTTTAGGGAGTGAGAGTGTGTTGACCCGGAAGTAAGTATTCTCTCCGCTGTGCTTGACAAACCCCGCGATTAGTCCTCAAGCTCTGTGATTGGATGTTTGAGTGGCAGTGCGCCGAGGGTTACGCCGAGCGTCAAACAGCACTTTGAAATGGAACGAAGACCAGCGACGGCACATTATCCAAAATAACATTCGAACGAGTCCACCCCCCCACCCCAGAACTACACATGCTGGCTATTGTGTTTCGCTGGGCTTCGTTTTTTTAGCTTTTTTAGATTATGTTTTTATTATGTTATTTTAGTCTTTATTATTTACCTACCTTTATATTGTTTTATTTATTTCATAGGTCTTAAAGGATTTTATCTTATTTTATTAATCTAACATGCTTCAATAGCAATATTTCTTTTTACGTTGGTCTTTTTTATTTCTTAATCATTTAACCTTTATTAGAATTATGGCATTTTTATAACTATTATCTTTTTATTTGTATTTTATATTGTACCTATATGTTCATGGGGTCAAATATTTTATATTGTTGCATCGACTCAGTTGTCTTGTGTCTTATCTGTCAGAGAGAAACCATTATTTATTTTAAATCTATTATCATACATTGGACCTCCTTGTGTCTATTAACCTGATAAAGTGTTATATGTTGCTGCATTGACAGGTCGGTAAAGTTCTTGACAAATAATCTGAGTGGAACTTCTTGTTGTGTATTTTTAACTTAACTTGTAAAGCACTTTGAGCTGCATGTGTTCTATGAAAAGTGCTATATAAATAAAGCTTTATTATTATTCAGCTGTCTTTATGCAAACAATAATACTAATTGTAGGCTCTAGGGGGGGAAGTGAAGAAGTTGTCTGTCCCCAATGTAACTCCCTCCTTCTCTGCACTTGATGACAGCTCTGCCCCGACTAGAGGAGGTCTGCAGGGGGCAGGGGGGGGGGGGGGGGGGGGGGGGTTATTTAAAAGGGAGGGGGGTGTAGGACTGGTGGGGTGTAAGGTCACGCCTCTGGCCTAAAAAGGCGAAGCAGAATACCAGCGGCAGGGAGAAGGTCTAAGAATAACTCAAGGCCTGGGGCTCTGAAACATGGCATGAATGCAACGGTACCTCATTACATTCAGGCTTATATTCTGACTAATAAAGACAAATAAAGAGTATAGATTGGGGTTTAATAGATGTTTAAAGCAGTGTGGATCTGTAATGACGTGCAGAAACATTGTCTGGTGAGGTAAAGTTACCGTAAAGGCTCTCTCCATTCGTTCTGTTCCCATCGGCCGTCACTCCCACTGGTCTAAATCTGTCAGAACAGTTAGAGGGGGGGTGTAAGCTGCTGTATCTACAACCATATTCCCACCCTGGCAAAGGGCAAAGACAGTGATCACCTTAAATTGGTCTCTGTCCGTCTCCTCAGCCTCTTCCCCTGGAAATCAGGACCAATCACTTGGACCCATGACACGTTTTTTACTTCTGGATCAAGACGAGAAAACACAGATTTAAGTAAGGAGATTAAGGAAAGAGGTGTAGAGTTTCCGGTGGGTTTTCACATATCTTCTGCACCACATGACGTTCTGGGATTGGAATTAAACACTGGGATTATATCGCGAGGACTCGAAGGATCTATTATACATATTTTCATGGCAGCTTAATCTGCACAAAAGGATTTACTGTTGGAATTGCTAAAGTATGCCTGAGACAGTTGAAGGTAAGGTATTACTACGTTAAGTATTCCCAACACCTTGTGACATGAAGGAGTTTCCATAATCTAAATGTCCTGTATGTTTTGATCTGATGCCGGGTGTGTAGGGAAATTTCCTGATTGGAAGTATCTAAAAATATGGTGCTATCATGTATCGGCTATTTGTAATGCAGCTTTAGGACCTCGCTGACTTCTACAGAGCTGGATCAGTCAGTATCAACACTGTACTTACTGCATGAAACCATCTCAAATGATACTGTTTTTACTGTGCATTCATACTGAAATGAGACAAATAGGAGGGCTCTGAAAGCAGAAAGGAGCTGCTAAAGTATCTAAACTTAATGACACACACACATATTAAAAAACACACACTGCAACGTCTTTTCTCCCAGATTGTGTTCGCAGTTTAAAACAGGTGTTTCACTTTCTAAATGAAAAACATAATCAACAACACACCGAAACTTGACCTGTTTAGGTGAGGTGATACATCCTGAGTTATAGGCAAGTTTCTTCTAAATCAACAATGACTTTTGGTTTTACACTGGACACAAACACCATGTCTCCTAGGTGAAAGTCGTGTTTGTTTGAGCCACCCACTACCACACAGACTTTGATTTGAAACATAACACTATTTGTGAAACAACGTCATGCAGGACAACATCGATTCATTCAAAACTTTATCCACAATGTCGTTTTGGTTGTATTGTATTATCATTTTTTGAAGAACAGGCTGCGCAGAGAGTAAGTAAGTAAAACTTTATTTATATAGCACCCTTCTCAACACGAATGTACAAAGTGTCTTACAGAATACAGTAAACAATACACAATTCAAATTACAACTATAACATGTAGAATAAAAGGCATACAACACAGCAAGTAAAACATAGGATAAAACACCAATGAAAAACAGCTACAAACTCACCTCCTCCGACGCCCCAAAGGCCTGTCGGAAAAGGTGAGTCTTTAGCTGCCCCTTAAAAATATCCACTGAGACAGAGGCTCTTAATGTCTGGGGGAGTTCATTCCAAAGCCTTGGAGCCACCGCCTCAACGGCACGGTCCCCCTTAGTTTTTAGCCTGGTTCGGGGCACCTTCAGGAGGCCTTGCTCAGAGGAACTCAGGGCCCGGGTTGTGCTGTAAGGGTGGATAAGGTTGAGAGGTGTTTTTATTAACTTATGATGATTACAGGTCTTCTTTTGCTTGATTGACAGCCCTATGACTTTATGAATGATCTTTTCTTTAACAGAAAACAAACATTTCATAGTTGGAAAAGCACCATTTTCTTAGTAGTTCATTACGTTTGGCAACCTCAGTATAATTCGGCATACCTTCGACTTGAATAAAAAAAGCATATCAACAAGTTTAAAAAATCAAGATAACAAGACGGTCATTCTTTTTGAACTAGCAATGACATAATAAATGTAGTCACAGTGTTTTCCGAAGATAAAAAATGTTGTTTTTGACAATTAACTTAATACACGGAACACATTGAAACGTTGACTTTAAAATGTATTACGTAAAGAGATTACAGCTAATTGTATTAGGTTAGTTGAAAGCAATAATATTACGTTTAAATACAAATATCAGGTTCAACTTAATTCCATTGCTTTCAACTAACCTAAAATACAATTAAGTGTAATCTGTGGACGTGATACATTTAATTGTAGTCAACTTTTCAATGTTTTCAATGCAGCTTTTCCGGACCTTTTAACATGTTGTAAGGTCTTCAATGTATTGGATATGACAACTTGACAATTTATACAAACTACCGTCGCTGATAGAGACGGGAAATTTGGTTAAAATCTCCGGAAAGAGTGAGTGTGCAACCTCAATGCTTACAACGAATGCTCTCATGGTGTTCATGTTGAAGGTTTTTTCCAATAACATGTGATTATCTCAGGATATCCAATCGTCTCATGATAACCTCTCAATAATCTCATTATTACACGACAGTACATCGGGGTAACGGGGCTTCTTACCTTGTTCTCCTGAATCTTTCATGTCTTCCTCCAGGATATCTCGTCCCTCTCACATGGCCATGAGGACTGACTGGGACAGACTGTAAAAGTATGGAAGCCCATTATCATGTTAGAGATAACATTATTATTGAATCTCAGAATATTGTTCCTATACAAAATATAAATATGAGAACAATTTGGTGTCTTGAGGTAATAAAGTTTAAGTCAAGATCACTAAATCTGATATTTTGAGATTGCAAAATATATAATAATTTGTTACCTCATGAATTGTGAATTGCTGTCAATACATTCCTGAACAGTCAAATGTTTTATTAATGGATTTTGCTGTGGAAATAAAACACGGGCTGATTCCATTTCCATTTGTAGGAGAGTATTCATGTCAAAGCGTTATGAATATTGTGTTTCTTAAGTAGTTTTTGGCAGCAAGCGTGTTTCAAAGTTATTAGTGGAGTTATGACAGGTCAGTCAGGACTCAGGAGTGTTTAAAAAGCTTTCGCTGTGGAAACTGTCCATACTTGGTGAAGTGAGTTGATGTTTGTGAGGCAGAAAGCAAGTATCAAGTACATATGTGTGAAAAAATGGTTATAAAAAAATGTACATTTGTCCAGTTCTGGCAAATTGTTTGTATACAAAAATACAAACAATCTGAGAAATAGGCTTCGGATCTGTGACTTGTTTATTGCAGGATTAGGATGTGTTTGACACTTTCTTTACACTCATTATTGTATTTGAAATGATCTTTATGTACAGTTTGCAGTGTAAACTCCAGCAGATGCACAACACTCATGCTACTTATTAGCATGGACGTGCTCAAACATCCAGATCTTAAAGGTCTCTGCCGTGCTCAGTTCAGCTCTGTGCTCTTATTTAGGAAATGTTATGGCTTCACCTCCATCTATTCTGACTGGACGGGCGACAACTAGCTCCTAACGACTGTTTTGGGCTGTCATGGATACCCAGAGAGAGAAACAACAGAAAAGTCGTCCACACAGGTCAGCCATAAAAGGAGGAATCTTACATGGATGGCTGGTCACACCATTTAGAGTTGGGTTTAAAAAGATGGGGTCAACAGAGGCAGACAAGTGAAGGGGGGAAGTGATTATGTTATTTCTCATGAATGAGTGGATTTGTTTGGCCTGAGGGTGGCACCTGAGGAGAGGTCAAGGGTCAGAGGAATAACTATGTTTTAAGTTCCTAGAGGTTTGTTGCTGTATGATTACACCAGTTGGCATTCTTTGTCAAATGGTGGTTTTGGTCTAATAGTTGAAGACGTTTCGTGAATTTAACAAATATGTAGATTTGATTACTATATAGGTCAACAGTACGTGTTCAAATCTATCAATAAAGACCTGGAAGAGGAAACAAATCCCTCTCTACTCAACAACAAAGACTGAAATGTCACATGTGAGATATTACCCTCCAGTGTACTAGTATATTAATTGACAGTTAGACATCATCAGACTGTGGTTTTACTGGGCACCTCCCAATATAACCTCAGTAAGACCAGTGGTACCATGGTTGAACTAAGAAGCCTCCAATCAGTTTGAGTCACTAACTGTTGTTTAGTGTTAAAATGAACGTATTATATTATAACATTTAATTTGTAGACTTCTTGATAAAGACAATGTCAAAATCGACCATAATCTGTAGGCTTTAGAACTTCACCAGTTCTTCATAAAGTCTAAGAAAGGCAGCTGATCATTAAATGTTTACATTTCATATTTCATTGCAGTGTGGTCAGTACTTGTATCATGATCTGGAAAGACGAGGAGACAGAAATCAGGATGCTAAGGCCACAGAGCAAGTTGTTAAAATAAGAAATTCATAGCTTTACCATCTTTTTTCTTACGTATGTCTTTGAGTATTTTGTTTGGTATTCTTTCTAACTTCCTCTTTGATATAAAACACAGCACAACATTTACTCACACAACCAGTAGAGGCAGTCAAAGCCATGACTTTCATTATGCACGAGCCAATTGGAGCTTTCTTATGCCGTCATTCATATTTTGGACCGACCTGTGGGAGTCAGAGTAACGATGTTAGACAGAGGTGTGTGTGTGTGTGTGTGTGTGCGTGTGTCTGTGTGTGTGTGTGTGTGTGTGTGTGTGTGTCTGTGTGTGTGTGTGTGTGTGCGTGTGTGTGTGTGTGTGTGTGTCTGTTCAGAGTGCTGCAAAGCTTTTTGAGTCAGCAGTAATGGAGTACCCCTCTGTAGCTGCCAACAGCCAGCTGAAGAAAGTCAACAGGTGGCCTGAGCTTCCCACACACACCAGACACACACACACACACACACACACACACACACACACACACACACACACACACACACACACACACACACACACACACACACACACACACACACACACACACGCACGCACACACACACACACACACACACACACACATACACACAACACACACACCAGACACACACACACACACACACACACACACACACACACACACACACACACACAGAGACACACACACACACACACACACACACACACCAGACACACACACACACACACACACACACACACACACACACACACACACACACACACACACACACACACACACACACATACACACACACACATTTGCAACTAGTGTAGGCTGACATATTTGACCAGGAAAAATATGTAATTTTTAGTTATTGGGTACCGTCCGTTTAAAATATGGATTAGGGGCTTTATATGAACTTATATTGGAGTTGGTGGAGAACAAAACAGAGGTAAAATAACAGTTAGTATTGGACATGTGTACGATGGACACAGCAACATGATTTTAAAATGAATCTTGGTCCTTGAATGTAAGCTAAAAAAGGTAGCTTGCTAACACTAGTGGCTTACAGGATAAGTTAATATATTGTGTGTAAATACACGAGACAGGGTGAAACTTGGACCGTACCACTACATTACTAATGTCTGTTGGGTTGTACAAGTCTAAAGGGGGTCCAAACAGTCCTTTCTTTTGTAACATTCTCTCACGAGGTTTGCCTTTTGGTGTTTTAGGTCAATTTTGATGTCAAATTAATATTTTTAGACTTCTATTTGAGTGCATAGTTTCAATGGTTCAACTTTTTGTATTATTTTCTTTTCTATAGTTAATACTATACTGTGGTCTTGATGTATTTACAGATAACTCTAAAAGATCTGTGTACTTCTTCCTCTCTTGTACACATGATGTTGTTTATTATTTTGGAAATGTATTGATACTAGTGTGTTAATCATGTAGAATATTAAAGGTCACCTATTATGTAAAATCCACTTGTTCATGTCTCTTCTACATCAACATGTGTCCCCTCTTCCTCATGTCTCTTCTACATCAACATGTGTCCCCTCTTCTTCATGTCTCTTCTACATCAACATGTGTCCCCTCTTCTTCATGTCTCTTCTACATCAACATGTGTCCCCTCTTCTTCATGTCTCTTCTACATCAACATGTGTCCCCTCTTCTTCATGTCTCTTCTACATCAACATGTGTCCCCTCTTCTTCATGTCTCTTCTACATCAACATGTGTCCCCTCTTCTTCATGTCTCTTCTACATCAACATGTGTCCCCTCTTCTTCATGTCTCTTCTACATCAACATGTGTCCCCTCTTCTTCATGTCTCTTCTACATCAACATGTGTCCCCTCTTCTTCATGTCTCTTCTACATCAACATGTGTCCCCTCTTCTTCATGTCTCTTCTTCATCAACATGTGTCCCCTCTTCTTCATGTCTCTTCTTCATCAACATGTGTCCCCTCTGTGGAAAGAGACTCTGAAAGTTTCAGGAACAAAGATTCTTTCTCTTTTTGTCCTGATCCATTTCTATAAAAACCTGTCTGAAAATGAGCTGATCAGATTTTGGCCACTTTATGATGTCATAATGATGTTTTGTCTTGTGTAACCATTAGCCAATCACCAACCAAGGTAACCCCCCCCCCCACCTTATCACCTGAATCTCCTCCTAGAGCGCCATTGAGTTCTTTTTAACCAAATCTCTCTCAGAGGGGCGTGGGGAGGGGCTCCTTATTTTCATCTAAAGTAACAGACAGAGAATCAGCACTTTTGAAACAGGGCTGAAACAGAGGGGATTATGGGATGCTGCAATGATCTGTTTGGTGTTTCAGCCAATCAGAGACAGGCTCTGTATATATCTGAGACCTGTAATATATTGATGAAGAACAGTATGATAGGGGACCTTTGAAGGATTTAGATATAAAAAGCCATATTTCCTGCCCTCTATGTGACCCCAGTTTCTCTGCTCCTCAGCGCGGTCGTCCACCACCACGATGGTCATCGACAGTAAGACTGTGGACCCCGGGCCGGCGCCTGGGCAAAAATCCAAGAAGACTTTAAACGAAGAGCTCCACTCCACGTTCAGCTCTCCTCTCGCCTGGATCCTGGTCCTGGCTCTGCTCATAACATGGTCCTGTGTTTTTGTCATCATGTTTGATCTGGCGGACTACAAGACCGTCTCGGGTAAGTGTTTACTGAGAAAAATGGGCATGAAACTGCAGAAAAACCCGCAGTTGGAGATCATAAATATACATTCTTATCCCACATTTTACTAAGCTAGTCAAGTAAGGCATATTGTGGCACATTTTTTGGCCCATTTGGCTATGTTTTGGCGCCATATTTGAACGGCTCTTGATAAAATATGGCTGCTAGATTGATTAGGTTTTCACAGTACTCGGGTGAATTAAAACAAGACCAGTTAGTGGCATTTAAACCCGTTTTTTTTGGGCAGTGTTGGTGAAAAAAGTAACTTAGCATACAAGCTATCACTATCAATATGCTACCCATGGTTTAGTTCATTATTGAATTGACTTAGGACAGTTGGTTAGAGATTTTAAGTGAATTACTTTTCTGTGTCAAGATGAATTTATTGCGAATGAAGGATAATGTTTTAAGGGCTTTGGACAGGACTTAAGTTAGATTATTAAGGGCTTACACGTTTCCTGGGATGTTGGTTTGGATTTAGAAGTCCAGCGACATGAGAAAGCAATGTAATATACATATAGATACACATAGCAACCAGGTGAGCAAATGACAAATGATGCTTTCCATTCAGGCATTAAAACTCTTGCACATTTCACAAATGATCTCGTCTTTCTTTAAGGGTTTGGATGAAACTCGTGTAAGCATTTTCAACGTGGTCTAACACTTCTATCAACCTCTGTGTTGTAAATGCTAAACTATAAAAGAGGGGTAGTGTGTTCACTGGTTTTAGCCTGGAGTTAATATCATGTATACAACAAGAAAAGGTGTCTTCTGATAGGTTGTTTTATAACATAAAGCCATGTTAATAAGGGTTGAAATGCTGCATATTATTAACTTTTTGAAGTTTTCTAGAAGTGCTTTTAAGAGCTATGTTGCCCTTGTGAAGCTGAAATGATTACACTGTATTCTGTATATTGTTATGTATTTCTTGTATGTTTCTCTTTCTTCATTTAAGAATGATTCTTCATTTATTCTTAACTCGTTTTCATGCAACACATCTTACTACCCTGGTATAAAATGTACTAATTTTCATGTATTTTTATACTAAGTTGCAAGCATTGGTTCCACTTCTCCTCACCACATTAAAACAAACAATGCTTCCAAAACTTCATCCATTAATTTCCTGTTTGTGTTCAACTCAATTTTCTAACCCTAACATCAACCTTTTAGTTCAAACTCCTTCATTTTCTAAACATTTATACGTTAAACTCACTGTAAAACCACAAGAAGTCATGAACCTGGAATAACGTAGTAAAACCAAACCATAGCAGTGCATATATGTTTCCTAGACTACAAGTATTGCTCATAATTTCATCTGGAAACAAATGACAAAGAACAAGGACGTGAAATCAAGTGGTATTTATAGAAATATCAACTTCTTTATTGTTCTTTCTGACATAGTATTGATAAACATAATCTTTAGTGTCATCATGCCATCACAAAAACCCCTTCTTCACTCTCTTATCTTATCGTTTTCTTCTCCACTTGCTAAATGTCTTTGCTTATTGCAGGTCGCCCACCTCCTGCCGTCAGGAAGGTTTTAAAGGATTCAGGCCGTAGAGGCAAGGCAACTTACCTGCTACTAACCCTCAGACCAGAAGCTTTCTCCTAAACATCTACTAACTATCTAACATTGACTGCTAATATAAGCTATCAATGTTACACAGACTTCTAAACAAGCTGCTTTTTATCTGCATCTCTGTCTGATACTACTTGAGTTTTGGCTGAACAAGTATTTTGGATGTTTATGTATTTGAAGCATGTTTTTCTGTTGTTTAAAAAAGGTTGCATTTTGCGAAAATTTGAATATTTGCTTCAGGTGAGTTTGATTTATTGAAGCAGTCCTGAAAGATATGCTATCTGAAAAAGAAATCTCAACCTCATCTGAAATCTCTGTTGTTAAAATGCATTATTTACTTGTTTTTTTGTATATGTTATTTTGCCTGTTGCTTTTTCTGTAAATCTTGTTGCTTTGAGGGCTCAAAAATATGCAAAATTATAATTGTTTTAGTCAAGTTTAGGTTCCTTAATGAACAAGACTTGAATAAAGAGATAACATGCATTAAATAATGTCTAAATAAGGAGAACCATATTTAGTTTTTCTTACTTTTTCACCAATTTGTACACCGATTCAGATCTGCCCTGATTCAAAATAAACAGCGGTCCTCTTTCATCAATCGGTCTTGCAAATTAAAATGTATGTATTCAATTATATGAAAGGTATTTTTAAGCACTTAACCCTTAGATGCATAAGTGGGTATTTTTTGACCCGGTGAGGTGGTTTTCTTAGAGTATCTTTGTAATTAAAAATTGTTATCATTTCATATTCCAGCTATTCCTCAAAAAACATGTTTTGGATATCATGCCATTCAAATTTTAAATTTACATTTTATACATTACCCCAAGCTTCCACAAGTGGGTCAATGACCCGCATGCATTTTCTGTGGAATTTCGTTTTTTTTTCCAAATGTAAAAAAAAAGTCTAAAATTATAAATAGTGAAAATAATAAAAAGAAAATATATATATATATTTCTAGTGTGAACCAAAATATAATACTAAATATTATACAAGTCATTTTTCTTAACCAAAAGGACAAAAATGGCATAAAAACACATATTATTCTAATACGGGTCCTTTTTGACCCACTCTTATGGAAGAGTGTAGGGTCCAGTCACTCGTGCATCTAAGGGTTAAGGAGACTATCTGTTAAAATGAAGAAACATTCCTGCTTTCTAGTAATGTGTTTAAAGCTTAGTGTGATGAGAAAACATCCACATTTTAATACGTAAAAAAGCAGATTACAACATGAGGAATAACTTGATGAAAGAGGGCCAATGTGATCTTTCTTCAAATGCTTTTTGCACAGCAGTATGTGATGTAGAAGGCTGTTTGCTGAGGTTAAACTGGAAGGTGGGTGCTCCATATTATTCATAAATACCTGAATCCACATTTTGGCATTAGACCCCCCACAGTTTAACCCATCGCTCTAGATTTAATGTTTCTGACATGTCCTTAAAGCAGAGGGATGTGTGTCTTGGGAAAATGTGTGAGCAAGAGTTCAGAAAGTCACTGGAATTGGATGTTTAACGGAGAAACAGCCGTGAAATCCCCTCTAATCAAACCTTGATGAATGATTGTATCCGTGCTCCACCAGGAGGCCTCAGCAAGATCGGCGCAGACCCCATAAAGGCGGTGAACGACGCCATGGACGAGTCGACAAATATAATCAGCATGATCTTCAGCTTTGCAGCCAACCTGGTCGCTCCTGAGGAAGAAGAAGGTACTCACTACAAAAACTCAAAAATCTTGCCAAGTATCTTTGTCTAATATCTAGTCAGAATGTGTCTCTACACCTGATATAAGACATAATAACTTCAGGAGTAACACTGCAGTGAGGTATCGGGTCTTGTTTTTAGACAATGCATCATCTTGTTGAGTCAAATAATCTTATTTTGAGTTGTATCTCAGATGAAACACATGTTTTTTTACATATGTATTGGAAAATCACCAACTAACATCAGAACACAGAACACCTTTGAGCATTTGCGGCTTATATTGTAACACAACATTTCCTGATTCTGGTCAAATATAGTTCAAAATGAGTTCTTCCAGCTAATTACAAGATGTGATTTATCTAAATATCTCTTCTTATTTCAAGAAATCTTACCAGGCTAATGTTCACTTATTCTTTTGGCAGATTTTTGTACTTATTTCAAGTGAAAACAGCTTGTTTTCATTATTGTTTAACTTGTTTTTGGAGCAGCATATTTTCCAGTGCAGTCATTGAAAACAAGAGAAAGCAAACAGTTAAGCTGCAAAAACATAAACATTAAAGTGCTTTTACTAATTTCCCTCTCTTCTTTTCTAGGAAATCTATATGCAGTGAGAAAAAAAGGTTTGTATTGATGCCATTTTTGATGCATTTCCGGTTGCAATCGTTGTTCTGCTGCAAGTTTGCTAGCTGCTGTGCTACATGTACTGTTCTTTATATTATACTCTTAGAGAATGCATAATCATAGACAAACATCCATGAACTGTACAGTACATGTACTGCAATGTGTGCTCGCTTGACTTCATTAGGCAAATATAATCTATTAAACTGAAAGCTATGATGATACAGAATGATGCGTTCAGAGGAGTTTTCCACCTTCATAGACATAGAAATACACAAATGTGTTGCATGGGGATTGCTATGATCTCATTTATGTATGAATAATCTCAAAGATTCAAGGTGGGTGGAGGAGGAGGAGGCAGTGGAGGTGAAGAATAAGAAAGCAAAAGGTATTTGATGATTATTTATTGTAATGAACATGTGGATTAACTCTAAATGGATGTAATCAGTCGTGTCCCTCACCTTTGTATCAGTAAGGTTAATCACTAGCAATAATCAAAGGTATGTGTTGCTTATTAATAACTTCTCTCATAAGAAGCTTTGCTGTTTCTCACTCTTATAGCTGCTTCCACTGAGCTACTAAACTCCTACTGAAACTATGATGTGTTTAATGTGAATTAACATCCAAAGAGTAACACACTTGATCAAGTTTAACGGCCCGTCCACACGGCGGCGTGCGTTCCAGCTTCTCATTCACTTTGAATGGGGTGACGTCACGCTTTGCCGAACTGCATTGTGGTTCTGTCGCGGCGCTTTGCCTCCATTGCTCGCTTGGAAAGTTGAGAAAAGTTCAACTTTTCAAGCGTTGACGGAAGCGTCAGCCAATCAAATCATATGCCAGTACAAGCGCTAGCCAATCAAACCGCGTGCTTGTGTGTCTGGGGCGGGAGATTCATGTGATTGGTTGTTGGTCGAGCTGCAGACACGCCCGCCGGCAAGCTTCAACGCACGCTGCCGTGTGGACGCTGCGTAACCCGTAGTTTTGTTACGTTATGTCGCTGATTAGTGCGAATGCTGTGCCACAGCATTCCACTATAGTTCTTCAAATCTTTATTCTTCCCCTTATTTCACCAATACTTTGGCTCTCCATAACTTCAGCTTATTTTCAGCTACAGAAACCATTCAAATATTAAACTATTCAGCCTTTTCAGGAATCGATGGGAAACCTTCAACTTTTTAAAAATATTTTATACTTTTTGAAATATTCAGCTTTTTAAACTCTTTTTTTTAACATGGAAGTCAATGGGAGATGCCTTCAAATCCTCTTTTCCTACACCTTGCGCCAAATGCTACTCTTTCCACATACTTTCAGCTAGACACTTCATTCCAACTTTCAAATGATCACAACACCTTCAGCTATTCAATTCTTATTCAGATTTTTGATATCTTTTACACTTTTTGAGATATTTAACTTAGTTTGGAGCTTGGTAGAGAGGCCTTTTTCAGATTTTAACATTAGTGTGGATGGAGCAGCTCGTTAAGTCTAGAGTGCTTTGATCTCAAAACAGAGTGCAGGAGTGCTTCAAATTCTCCCCAAAAAATGTTTTAAACTTGCCATAATTCCCAAACCCTACACTCCTCAGACATATTTTTTAATGAAAAACGTAGGAAAACCTCTCCTAGGTTGGAAAATAAAAAAGAATTAAGAAGAAATATTAAACAAAATGCCTCTTGAGGGCATGAAGAGACAAAAAGTCCATCTAGCTCCCAATTGATTCCCATGTTAAATCTTTCCGGAACTTTCTTCAGAACAGAGAGAAGTACACTTTAGACAAACTGCTCCCATCTCCACATTTTACACACAAAACCAAAAAAAACAACATATATCAGTTCATTGGGGTTCCCTGATGCTCACGGTCTGGTAATTTTTTGATAGGAGCCATAGTTTTTGAACAGGTGGCAAAATTGGCAGATATAATCCTCAATGTATTCTTAATGGGAGTCAGTGCTGCAGTTGGTAAATCGCCATAAATCGTCACCATGGTAACCTTTCATCTCTGGGTTTACACACACAGGTGTTTGTAAACATTCATTCACTACTACTTACATTTAATATCTTTATTTAACTCCTTCAGCCTAATTTCAGCTACAGAAACCATTCAATTATCAAACTATTCACTCTTTTCAGCACATGATGCGGAAACTTTCAACTTGTTCAAAATATGTTATACTTTTTAAAACATTCAGCTTTTTAAAGTCTTTTTTTAACATGGAAGTCATTGCAATGCATTTGAGCTGTAACCATTCACACACACACACACACACACACACACACACACACACACACACACACACACACACACACACACACACACACACACACACACACACACACACACACATGCACACACACACACACACTCTCTCTCTCTCTCTCTCTCTCTCTCTCTCACACAGACACACACCGATGATGATGAATGATCAAGAGAAGAGAGAGAGGGCGATCAAGAGGAGAGAGAGAGGGCGATCAAGAGGAGAGAAAGAGGGCGATCAAGAGGAGAGAGAGAGGGCGATCAAGAGAAGAGAGAGAGGGCGATCAAGAGGAGAGAGAGGGCGATCAAGAGAAGAGAGAGAGGGCGATCAAGAGAAGAGAGAGAGGGTGATAGAAGAGTGAGAGGGCGATCAAGAGAAGAGAGAGAGGGCAGGCGATAGAAGATTGAGAGGGTGATCAAGAGAAGAGAGAGGGCGATCAAGAGAAGAGAGAGAGTAATGTAACCTCCTAATGTAATGTATAACTCCTATGAAAATGTGCAAAAAGTGCTCAAACTTCACATGTGTGCTAACAGTCCAGCCGTGAAGACATCTACGGGATTTCTTCAAATGCCGTTGCCATGGCAACACAATGCTCACCATGAAACACGGTTTTCTCATAACTTCAGTGAAAATGCTCGAAATGGCCCAAAACTTCACAGGTTTGGTAATGATGCAGCCATCAACACATCTAAGCGTATTATGGGGTGTCATCAAATGCCGTTGCCATGGCGACAGATAATTCACCATCAAGTTAGTTCAAAAGTTTGCAGTTCAAATATTCTGCTGCTTTCCCAAGCCTTTTTACTTTCTTTTCTCATCTTAATACAAATTCATTCACTACTACTTACATCTGATATTTAACTCCTTCAGCCTATTTCAGGACATCAAGGCTATACATGTTGTTGTTTATACCTTTTTTTAAACCTTTTCTTTTAAATATTAAGCTTTTTCTGCATTTTTGTAGCTAAAAGCAGCTACCATTCAGCTAATAACATATTCAGCTTTTTCTGCATTTTCAGCTAAATTCAGCCACAAATGTTCACAGTTTACAGCATTCGCACGCATTTTCTGCAGGAAATGCATTTTCTAGTTTTGATTTATCCTTCTGTGTGTTTTAGGAGAGTTTCTACCGTCCCGAAGTAAAGGTGAGACCCTCGAGTTTGGGATTGATGTTTTACCGATAAAGTAACTTTAGAATGTTTTATTGTTGATACATCGGATGCTAATTGTCCTTTTCAAATCTCATGAACTCAGTTATTACAGCACTGGAGGTACAGTCTTTTTGACGGAGCTTCAGTTTCATTGAGGATTATTTATGATTTAAAACATGGATTTGTAGATGAACGATATGTTGCTGTTTTCAGTCATAGGGATGCAAGTGATAGAGGTGGTGGAAGATGAAGATGAAGATCTGCAACAGGAAGAGGAAGAGGAAGGAGTGGAGGAGGAAGTGGAGGCTGCTGCTGCTGCTGCGGAGGAGGAGGAGGAAGAGGCGGGAGAGGAAGAACTAGAGGAGGAAGAGGATGATGAGGATGAGGACGATGACGAGTACTATGAGGATGATGAGGAAGAGTACGATGAGGAGTATGAAAAATATTATGAGGATGAGGCGGAGGAGGACGAGGAGGAGGACGAGGAGGACGAGGAGGAAGAGGAGGAAGAGGAGGAGGAGGACGAGGAGGAAGGAGCAGAAGCTGAGGATGAAGAAGAGGAAGAGGAGGAAGCAGCAGCAGCGGTTGAGGAGGAGGAAGACGAGGATGAAGAAACAGAAGCGGCAGAAGCTGTGGACGAAGAGGAGGAGGAAGAAGAGGAGGAAGAGGAGGAAGAGGAGGAAGAGGAGGAAGAGGAAGCAGTTGAAGCAGCTGCTGCTGATGATGATGATGATGTAGAGAAGGCAGCAGAGGAGGAAGAGGAGGTGGAGGTTGCTGCTGAGGTGGAGCAGGATGAAGATGAAGACGAGGAAGAAGAGTCAGAACCTGAAGCAGCTGCAGCTGAGATTGATGATGATGATGGTGATGATGATGATGATGAAGAAGAGAAGGCAGATGATGATGATGATGATGAAGAGGAGAAGGCAGATGCTGCTGAAGATGATGAAGAAGAAGACTCTGAAGCTGCAGCTGCTGATGCTGCTGACGATGATGATGATGATGACGATGAAGAAGAGTCAGAACCTGAAGCAGCTGCAGCTGAGATTGATGATGATGATGATGATGAAGACGTGAAGGACGAGGCAGCAGGAGAAGAGGCTGGCAAGGAAGATGATGATGAAGAGGAGAAGGCTGATGCTGCTGATGATGATGAAGATGAAGTAGAGTCAGAACCTGAAGCAGCTGCAGCTGAGATTGATGATGATGATGACGTGAAGGAGGAGGCAGATGCTGATGATGATGATGATGATGAAGAAGAAGACTCTGAACCTGAAGCAGCTGCAGCTGAGATTGATGATGATGATGACGTGAAGGAGGAGGCAGATGCTGCTGATGATGATGATGAAGAAGAAGACTCTGAACCTGCAGCTGCTGTTGCTGACGATGATGATGACGATGATGATGATGACGATGAAGATGATGAAGTTTCTCCTGAACCCATCTCCACGTCAGAGGATGAAGAGTCGGCGGTGACTCCTGACTCTGAGTCTGATGCTCCTGTTGCCGTCGACGACAGTGATGAAGATGTCGCCCTTCTTGATGAACATGAAGACAAACACGAAGAGGACAGCGACGAAGACGTTGCTCTGACTGATGAAGATAACGATGAAGACGAGTCAGATGACGATGCATTCACTGACTCCTCAGACGACAGTGAATCGGCCCTTCTCTCCAGTGACGAAGAGGATGATGAAGATGACAGATTAGCGGAGGGTGTTGTGACAACCGACAGCGACGACATCTTTTTAGAAGACAGCGATGAAGACCTGGAGCTTCCTCCTATTCCTGCTGCCAGTGAGGATGATGAAAATGATGAAGACCTGGAGCTTGATCTTCCTCCTATTCCTGCTGCCAGTGAGGATGATGAAGATGATGAAGACCTGGAGCTTGATCTTCCTCCTATTCCTGCTGCCAGTGAGGATGATGAAGATGATGAAGATGATGATGATCTAAAACTCCCTGAAGAGGAAGAGCTTCCTCCTTTACCTGCGCTCGAGGATGATGATGATGATGAAGAAGATGTCAAACTTGTTGAAGACACCAATGATGATGTCAAAGCTGAAGAGGATGATGAAGATGAAGATGAAGACCAATCAGACGAGGACTTCTCCGTCGCCTCCTCCGATCACTTTGCAGATGATGAAGACGATGATGAAGACGTTGATCTCAAGGACGAAGATCTCGACTTTGACCTTGCCAAAGAATTCCAAATTGACCTTGACGATGACACACCTGATGATGTCATTGATGAAGACGTCCCTGACGAAGAGGAAGAAGGGCCTCCTCTGGAGAGCACAGACAGCGGAGTGTTAGGCGATGAAGATGATGATGACGAGTTCGCTCTTTCGACAGATGAAGAGACCATCCTCAGTGAAGACATCTCCTTTGAGACCACCGACGATGAAGATGATGATGAAGATGATGATGATGATGAAGTTATCGACTCGTTTGAGTTCTCCTTGGATCAGGAAGGAGGAGTACCATTTGTTGACGCTGAAAAAGACGACGATGGTGATGAAGATGATGATGAAGATGAAGTCACATCAGAGTCTTTAGCTAGTGAAGATGACGAAGACGATGATGATTATGATGATGATGATGAAGATGATGAAGATGATGTTAACATCTTGCTAGCAGGTATAGTGCAGAATTATGAATGACTTTAATTAACTATTAAATATTACAGCACTCCACTGCAAGAGGAAATGCTTTCTGTCAACAAAAAATAAGTACATTTTACTTAAAGGTCACCTATCATGCTATTTTTAGGCAATAGCATAGGTCTCAGATATATACAAATATATAAAAAACATGTCTATGAAGTGTTTTGCTCAAAATACCAAACAGATCATCCATTCCAGCCATGTCTCATATCCCTCTGTTTCACTTCCTGTTTTAAAAGTGCTGATTTGGGTATAAAGCTTAAAATCCCTGACACACCGGGGACACATATTTATGTATAAAAGACATCACAAAGTGCATTTTGCATGATAGGTCCCCTTTAAGTTAAATTCAATTAAAATAATTCATAATATATAACAAGAAAAATATCTATACTATAAAATAGGTAGTGTCCCTTTAATAAATCTAATTTTTATATAAAATAATAGAGGATATTGCTGTTGTGCATTTACATATTTCTATTGCTTTTTCTCATAACATCCATCCATCCAACAGTCCTGTTATATGCCAACATGTTGTCAGTATATGACAATACATATAAAAGTTCATATTTGAACACTGTCTGTGTACTTATACTACACTGTGTACTTATACTACACTGTGTACTTGCAGCTTCCTCTGCAGCGGTGCTTACCGTCCAGAAGGAGGCAGTGAAGACTGAGGCAGACGAAGTAGAGGAAGAGGAAGATGACATCACATCAGCTTCAGAGGAAGACGACTCAGAGGAGGATGAGGCAGAAAACATTGGTGAGACACACACACACACACACACACACACACGCACGCACGCACGCACGCACGCACACACACACACACACACACACACACACACACACACACACACACACACACACACACACACACACACACACACACGCACACACACACACACACACACACCTGCTGAGATTTACACACACAATTAAAACTAATTAAAACATTGGTGAGACACACACACACACACACACACACACACACACACACACACACACACACACACACACACACACACACACACACACACACACACACACACACACACACACACACACACACCTTCTGAGATTTACACACATCATTAAAACTAATTAAAACATTGTAAAAATGTCCCTATTTCTCTAAAAATGTAATTTTAATTCTACAGTAATTATTTTGAAAGGGCGTGAAATCAATAGTCTTACTTTTCCCACCATCTTTCTCTGAACAGCCATACAGTACGTGTCACATATTTGCATGATATTTGTTAAAAGCTGGACGGTGTAAACTTACATTTGACTCAAACCCCATTCATGTGTGGTGCTGCAAAGAAATCATGGAAAAACGTATAATTTATAAGCTTATTAAATCTAATGTTTTTAGGTTTCATGCTTCTTACGTACTTCCTTACAGTCCAATGCATCTAACAGGACTAAAAAAAACACAATCCTTAAATTGACATGAATAAAATATAATAAAATCCAACATAATTTGAATTTATTTTTGAATTTTAAAGCTACATTAGGTGCTTTTTATCCGCCAAACTCATATTTATCGTCTCTACTAAACACAAAGATATGAAAAAGATAAAAAAATCCATACACTGATCTCTATCAAGCCAATTGTAATATGCTAGGTACCTAGTTTTGGGTCACAAAGATCCATCAGATTTTGTTTTGTTGCACTTTAGCCTTAAAGGGGACCTATCATGCAAAATGCACTTTTGTACGTCTTTTATACATGAATATGTGTCCCCGGTGTTCCAGGGAACTCACCAAGTGTCAGAAAACACAACCCTCTCTATTTTCCTCCATACCCAAATCTCTAAAAAAGGGGCTGCAACGGATCTGATAAAAACTGATCCAGATTTGAACACTGTCCTGACGTCAGGACAGTGGCGCTACGGCTATTGGGCCAACTCCACCAATCAGGAGGAGACAGCCACGGCCATTGCCGTTCGAAAGCGCTGGAGACGCTGTAGTACATATGCCAGGCCTGTAGGTGGTGCTGTTCTCACAGAATCAGCCCTTGCAAAAACAGAGCTAAAAAATGGCATGGCTAAAATGCATGATCTGTTTGGTATTTTGAAAAAATAAAATAAAATATGCCTTATATAGGTATGGTCCTACACTATATTATTCAAATATAGCATGATAGGTCCACTTTCATTTATATTTTCCTATTATATTTCTCAATCAAGCCAAACCTGAATCTGATCAACAAAACAACCACAAACTATTCCTTACAGTTTTTAGGTAGAAATACTTTGACTCCTGTCAGTTAATACATCTATAACTCTGAGTGTCAGCTCACACAATAAAATCTGTTTCTCCTCAGTCCTCTCTCAGCCTGCTGCTCTTGAGGAAGATGATGATGATGAGGGAGGGGAAGATGAAGAGCCGACACCTGAACTGAAGAAATCTGTGGACGAGCCTGAAGATAAAAAGGAGGAAGAGTACGATGAAGACGACGATGAGGAGGAGAAGGCGTCGGTGGAAGTGATCAAACCCGTCTCTGAAGCTGAGGAGGAAGAGACTGAAGCAGCAGGTCAGAGGATGAAAGATAACTTATTCTACTCTGAAATGCTTTTTATTTCCACCATTATTTCCCCCTTTGTCATATATATCTGTTTATCATTTGTAACTTATTTTAAACTAATGTTTTGACTGAGGAAATAACGTTTTATGGACCATTTAGTAGTAAGGGTTAGATTAGTTTTACGCTATTTGTTAGAGGCTTTTTTTAGCTTGTTTATTTATAATACATGAACTCTCTCTAGATATGTCAGTTAGACTTGAAATACTTCCTCTCAAGTCATTCAGATAGTTTATTAGGGTGTTTGATTGCACATATCTCCATTACATCTCATACTTGTATCTATAACCGTTTATGAATACAATTAATAGGATACTCAGAGCTTTTATATCACATTTACCGGCTTTCTTTGTGTTTTCAGAGTGTCCCTGTATGCACTCTGGAAAGGCCAAAGAGCCTGACACCAAGACTGTGGAGAAAAAAGGTTTGAGATACTTTTGCATGTTAAATGATTGTCTTTACATGAAAAAAAATGCATTTAAAATACACAAAGTATGGAAACTGTAGACCAGGGCTATTCAATTAGCTTGGAATGGGGCCGGTTGATGAAAATGATCCAAAGCAAGGGGCCGGGAAAAAAGATGGCTTGAAATATGAGCAATCATATTAAGAGCTTCAGATACAGTAAATACTACAACAGCATAGTGGAGTGCATATATTGTGTTTAATTCAATCAAACAACATAGCCCCAAGGCCTTTATAGATCTAAATGGCAAGTTCAGAACTCAGTAGACCTACATGTGAAGCTAATTTAACCATCAACATAATTTAATTTGATTTCATTTAGGTGAAATGATCTAATTATTCACGCAGAGATGCAATCAATGACAGGAGTTGTCACTACAGTAGCTAGTAGGTGGGTTCGAAACCCGAGCCCGCCGAAGTTTTCAGGCAATTTCTTCCCCTCTATCTCTCAATGTAACACCCTCTCTAGAATAAAGGCACTCTGGCCGAAAAGAAATTCTTTAAAAAAAAATGAAAGTCGATTACTTTTTAACATTATACTCAAAGGGCCAGTAAATATCACCCCGGGGCCAGATTTGGACCACCAATTGAATAGCCCTGCTGTAGACCCTTAATATTATTTGTTTGGGTTCTTGCACTAAAATTCTGTTTCCTACCGATAAAACAATACTACATTTATAGTCAATATAAGTTTTTGACTTACTGCAGTACCAGGATGTAAGGTATTTTTGCTTTGGTATACAGTACGCACTTCTATAATTATTGATTTTTTATGATAAGTGATTATTTTGTAATGTCTCATTTCTTTTCTCAGATCCCCCAAAGAGAGTTTCATCTGTGAGAAGCAAAAAAGGTATGGAGAAATGTGAATGTTAGACTCTTTCTTTGCCTTAAACCACACAACAACCTTATAAAGGTTAGGAGTGCAAATAGAAATCAAGCAACAAAAACTAAACATTGGTTGGAGGCTGGATTTCGAGTCAATGCTAAATTTGAGGGGGAATTCAGCATCAAAGCCTTTAAAATGTGATACTACATATTTTTGTATGGCTATAACAAAGCTCTAAAGGAGAATAGCCAAATAAAACGTATTTTTTTTATTGTTTGTTAATGTTTTACTTCTTATTTTAAGAGCGTGAAGCTTTGAAGACCGGTGAAAAGCCAATAAGAAAAGGTAACACTCACCCTGTAACACACCATCTTTAAGTTAATTTGTAGAATCCTTGGTATTATTGTGATGTTATTAATTAAAATATGAGCATGTGTTGTATCCAGGTTTACCCAGAATGGCGTTCTTTGAGCCCAAAGCCAGACGCGCCGCGAAACTCCCTGCTCTTCTCAGAGGTAATCTCATTTACCAGAGAATCTTACATGTTAATCACTGAACTGTAGAGTATGGTAAGTGTAGCTTGTGACACGGTGACTAAGCTAGGCTAGCAGTTTCCCCCTGTTTTCAGTCTTTATGCTAAGCTATGCTAAGCTATGCTAAGCTATGCTAAGCTATGCGAAGCTAAGCTAACCAGATGTTAGCAGTGGCTTCGTACAGAGTAGTTTTCCGCCATAAAAAGAAGTATCACTTTTAACAAACCTTTTTGAATTAAGCTTAAAATGTAAGAAAATTGCCAATAGAGAAAAAACTAAAAAGTCAACATTATAAAATAAATATCTGCTTCAATTTCTTGATTTGCGTGTCTGATATTAATGCATTTTTGTCACTATTTCTGTCACAACCTTTATAAACAGGATGTCTTTTTCTTTAATATTCCAATATAAAGCCAAGAAAGCAGCAAAGATTGCCGCCAAGACTCCCAAAAAAGGTAAGATGAAGAATTTTCTGCAACAATAATAAATTCAGACCAGCCAGATGAAAATATTTACAGGGAAATACTTATTATTATTATTATAATATGAACCATTTAAAGACTACTGTTGTCAAGTACGATTCAAATATATTCAAGTGTTGATGGATTATCTTTTAGAGATTTGATTTTCATGTACAAAGTAAAGACAACGCAAACACATTGTCTTCGTATGTCAAGTGTTGTCGTTTTTATTGCCCATCATATAAAAACATCTGTAAAGACCTTAAACCCCTAATTCAGATGACACAGAGTTATTTTAGTTTTTTCAACAGAGACAGAAGCAGAAGAAGAGCCAGAGACCAAAAAACAGGAAGAAGTCACAGAATCTGGAGAAGGTGACACTATGATATCCATTATGAATTGTAAAGTTTTTCCTATAAACATGTGAAAAAACTTGGATAAATACTCAAGAAAAAGAACCCAATGATCAGAGGTTGGAAGTAGTGGAGTACAAATACTTCGTTACTGTACTTAAGTACATGTTTCTGGTATCAGTACTTTACTCCACTACTTGTTTTTCTCACGACTTTTTACTTTCTACTTCTTACATGTTGAACACAAATACCTGTACTTTCTACTTTTTACATGTTGAACCCAAATACCTGTACTTTCTACTTCTTACATTTTGAACCCAAATACCTGTACTTTCTACTTCTTACATGTTGAACCCAAATACCTGTACTTTCTACTTCTTACATTTTGAACACAAATACCTGTACTTTCTACTTCTTACATGTTGAACCCAAATACCTGTACTTTCTACTTCTTACATTTTGAACACAAATACCTGTACTTTCTACTTCTTACATGTTGAACACAAATACCTGTACTTTCTACTTCTTACATGTTGAACACAAATACCTGTACTTTCTACTTCTTACATGTTGAACCCAAATACCTGTACTTTCTACTTCTTACATTTTCCAAACAGGCTGGTTCCTTTAGTTTGAATGTGTGTTTGGTGGCGTGATCATTATTATTTAGAGTCATTGCGTGCCTATTGATTTGAACACGATCCGTGTATCCATCATTTCCTGGTCTTCTCTAAAGAAGAGGGACCAATGAAAACGTTGTCATGTTGCCGTTGTTCAGCATGGAAACATTCATTAGCTAACAATGACATTATTGTTCTATTAATATAAAGGGAGGTCAGGTACTCTTTAAAACAGCTGCTAGTTATGGGTACTTTTTACTGAAGTACATTTCAAAGCCCATACTTCTTTACTTTTACTTGAGTAAAGAAGTTTAGTCAGTACTTCTACTTTTACCAGATAATCTGTACTTATACTTGAGTAAAGGATGTGTGTACTTCTGCCATCTCTGCCAATAATACCCATCTGTTGGTGTGTTGCAGTCGGACCCTGCAGACCTGCACCAGTTTACTGCCCGTCCCCTCCTGGCTGGTACGGTAAGTAACTCTATTATTATTGAGGGGAAATAAATATCATAATTTTATAACAACCTGATTAAAACACATTTATCTTCCAGTTCATCACGTTGTCACGGACAACCCGTACCCTCCTCCAACCATGCCAGGTATTTACACTGTACATACTGATATACACCTGAACATCAGCAGGAGAGGACTCTTTAAAGTAGAGACACTCAGACTGATATACACCTGAAAATATAATATACGCCTAATATGTTTTGACCAGTGTGATCATATGTTTCTCCATGTTTTCCATTTCTTCTGTTTAAATCTAAAACATTTCACATTTTCCAGCTCCCTCTGCTCCGGTTCTGACGGCTCACCCCTCTCACCCTTTGGACCCTGGAGCTCCCCCCCCCATGCACCCTCTCTATCAGCAGCACATGCATCCGATGTTTCAATATCAGCCGTACCCTCACATGCACCCTCACATGCACCCACACATGCACCCTCACATGCACCCACACATGCACCCACACATGCAGCCTCCCCCAGAACAACAAATGCCACCAGTACAACCAGAACCAGAAGCAGAAGCAGAGCAGCAGAAACCAGCAGCTGAAGCTCCGCCTGCAGAGACTGAAGCTCCGCCTGCAGAGACTGAAGCTCCGCCTGCAGAGACTGAAGCTCCGCCTGCAGAGACTGAAGCTCCTGCTGAGCCGGAGATCCAGAGTCCAGCTCCTGAACAAGGTGAGGAGAGACCAATTCATCACAACTCAGACTCACTTTACTCATGTTTATTCATCAGTAATGAGTCAAATAACTTTTAAAAAGAACTCATTTTGACTGCAGCAATTGCGATCGTGATATGAAAAGTAATTGAGAATTTTCATCCTTCTCAAAGATTTATTTAAACTGATCATGGTGTGATTTATTTTAAAGACTATCTGTACCAAACAAAATAAAGTAAATTTGTAGGCCGGGACTTCTACGCAGCTCCATAATACTTAATATTTAGACTTGCACTATAGTCAATATTAGGACTTCAATTAAATTCAGATTAATTGTGCAGCTCTAATTCTTATACAGTAGATTTTAACATGACATAGAGTTCATCTTATATTCATTCTGTGTGAGAAATGATGGCAAACTTGCAAACATATTGGCCCTCAAAGACAAAAAAGGGTTTATTTCTTATTTAAAAATGTGTTTAAAAAGCTTGATCACCATAAAATAATTTGCCTAGTTTATTTCTTACATCATGCCAGATATATTTTGTATTTCAAGTTTGTTGTTTTGTTAGATGTTATGTTCATATATGCAAATAAGGTGTAATCTAATAATAACTTCTGATCATTTTAGGAGAGACACATGTCAAGAAAGCCAAATTCTCTTAAAATATTGACCATTGCATAAAACAACATTTGCCTAAAAGGTGCACACTGCAAACTATTAAATCAGAATATTCCAGGTAAGGCTGTGCACAGAACTGAAGAAACAGACTTATTGCACGGATGGATTTATCCAAAAAAACGTTGACTCATTTTAAAATCCAGATCAACATTTGTATTTTTCTTTCCACTGCTGCCTTTGTCTGAACGTCATTACTATGAATATTATAAGCTTCATAATATGGCGTAAAGTACATGAAACAAGATTTAAAATGTTACTTAACTGAACTTAAAGTATAAACCATCAATTTCACGACTTAACTCTTCTCTCCTAAAGAAGCAGAGCCAGTTGAGGAAGAAGTGAAAGCCCCCTCGACCAAGAAAGGTACAAACTGTTTCATTTGAAGTTAAACTTGTCTCTAAACAGAAGCTGTGAATAATAATTACTCTGTGATATTTTGCAGCTGCACAGAAGAAAACAAAGGCTGCAGATTCAGAAAAAGGTACGTACTTTCCTCCATGAATGCCTCATTTGTCGGTAAACTGGAGGATTCACAGTGAATACCTGCAGCTGCGTGATGTCACAGTGATCTGTAAGAAAGCTTTCAGTACGGAAAATGAACTCAACGCGGCCGTTTGCCTCCAATTATCCCCTCAGAGGCAGCAGCAGCCGCACAGACGACAAAGAAAGGTAATTCATGTTTGCAGATTACTAATTCAACAACGTGCACTTCACTCTCGCTACAAATTATACACACTATACAAGCTGCAGCTCTCTGTTAATATACAAACATAATTACACACTTGATTTAGATGTGAATAACAAACACAACATATCCAATTCTAGATACTTCCAAAGAGAAAACCAAAGCTGGTGCTGCAAAGAAAGGTAAATACACATGAACTAAATGTGGTTTTCTTAAGGAATATTCATTTTAATGTAATATACACTGCATACAATTGTGGTATTTGTTGCAGAGACACTAGCAAAAAAAGAGAAGACAACAAGTCCTGCGGCGGCTAAGAAAGGTAATGAATATTTTGGTGGAAAATTAAGTTTCTATCTGGCGTCAGAACAGAAACATTTCCTTAATATTGTTTTATTTACTATTTGAAATCAGTTGCATTTATTTCTACAGAGCCAGCTGCAGAGAAAAGCAAAACGGCTGCAGCTGTAAAGAAAGGTAACGATAATTTTAGTAGAATTTAACATTTGTAATTAAACAAGATCCTTAGAAAAGTTACAATATTAAAGTTTGAACATACAGCTTTAAGATTGTATTTTTTGTTACAGAGCCAGCTGTGAAAGAGAAGACTAAAAGTCCTGCAGTAGCTAAGAAAGGTAAAACACATTTAAACTGAATGCAAAGTATTTCATTTAAAGAGGACATGTCTCCAAGCTTTAATGTTCAAAGAGCTCTTTATTTTTCTCATACTGCCTGTGCTGCAGCACCTCTTTTCACCCTCTGTCGGAAACCAGAGCCCAGTCTGCTCTGATTGGTTAGCTGACCGGCTCTGTTGTGATTGGTCAACCGCTTAGAGATGTCCCGCCCCTTAGCCTATCACGTACAATATGTTGGAGCGCTAGCCAATCGGAGCGTGAGCGTTCCATAGTGATGTCATTATGTTCCGGAAGCTTTACCATTTATCACCACAATATTATAAGTGTACATGTACTTTTTTATATTTCTTGTAAACTTGCTGTATTTTATAAAAGTTTTAAAAGCTGTTTTTATAATCGTTTTTTATATATATTTTTTTTTTACACGTTAATCCTCTACTGCATTTATATATGCAACATTATAAAACCAACCAAATGGTAACCAGATTGTGATTATTAATATTTAATTTAGTATCTTTTGAACTTTTTCTTTCTACAGAGCCAGCTGTAAAAGAGAAAGCCAAACCAGCCGCTAAGAAAGGTAAAACATCATTAGTCCAGAAGGCATCAAAAAAAGTGTGACAATTATGAAATAGTCTAAAAATCTAATCCTCTCCGTCCTTAATGAGAACGAGCCGCTGATATTTCAGTTTGAAATCAAAAGATTCAGGCAAATAATCATAACTCTTTCCTCATTAAACCAGAGCCTGCAGCTGCAAGACAGAAGATGAAATCAGGCTCTGAGAAGACAGGTACACACACACACACACACACACACACACACGCACGCACGCACGCACGCATGCACACACACACACACACACACACATATATGAGGTGTGATTTGTGCCAAAGAGCGAACTCACTGAGCAGACAATCGTGTCGGTCGTCGCCTACCATGCCGTGAACTATGCCGTGAGAGAAGTAACGTGACACTCTCGTCGCCACCCCTCTCGTCTGAGAAGCTACGTGACGTCTGCGTCTGAAGTTACTTTACTTAGTTATCACCAAATAACCCAGTAATGTTACAGCTACGTTGCTGTTCAAGCTAGAATCTATTTCAATATAGTTTTGGTATTAAAATAATGTTACACCTCTTGTATGCCCTGAATGCAAAAAACAACCACAGACAAGAATATATATTTTTAATTATCAAAATGATAACAAAGGCTGAAAAAACAGGAGAAGCCTGTCTTCCCTTGGTCTCCAGGAGAAAACTGTATATCACCAAGTTTTCATATAGTTTTGTGTGTGAAATAGATCGCTGCAGTGAACACGACTTTATGTATTTGTTTATGGTTTATTTGATTTGGAGGGATGCAGTATACGGGTCATTCCAGAATTGGAGGACAATTTAGACACCAACATTTTTGAAAAATGAACCTTTCATTTTATTATTTTTTGTTATGTATTTAGGAAAAACAGATAATAAACCATCAAAAAAAGTGATTTGCCCAGCTAAGGCATCAAATGTATATTTTCCAATGAAGAATTAACCCTGTTACTCTAATTATAGTAACAGGGTTGAAAATCAATGCTAATTTTAGCTTTTACCTCAGGAATTAATGCTAGCTGCACAATGTAATGCTATTGTCAAGGAATGGACACACTTAGATATTTAACTAAAGAAAGATACATTTGAAATTAATTTGTTTTAGTCTCATAATTTGAGTAACAGGGTTGCGTTTGTATGAGTGCCACACTCCTTCAAGAGTGACAAGATTGGAAATATATTACAAATAAAAGAGAGGACTTAGTTTTGGTCTACCCATGGTAGTAGCACATGGCTTGCTGATGTCCTTTCCACTGTGTCATGCGACAAACAGTTTTTTCACTTCCTCTGCCAAGCTAAAAAGGTTTCGGTAACAGGGTTGCGCGCATGTTGAGGGACACACCTTCTGTGCAAAATTACTGTTATTTAAAATGTGTTTATGATTTAACAAATAGATTTTACCATTACAAGACACATATATCAATAGAATAATACCAAAAAAGTAAATAAAAACCCTATTTTAAATGTTATATTTGACATGCAAGTTGGTCACCAAGAAGCTGGGACAAGAGAAAAGGGCAATTTTACGGGGTGTTCGAGAGCTATTTGATATTTTAAATAATATTTTGAAACCACTTTTTCTACAACTTTATATGCATCTTGTCTCAATACAAGTATATTTAACACAACAAGTGCATGTCTTAGCTTTTTGGGCATGGATTATTAGATTTTTTATATGGGGGACATGAAATGTCCTCCAATTCTGGAATGAGAAGTTCAGAGAAGAGGCAACCCCTATATATTGTTTATTTTATTTCATTTCAGCACCATGGCAGAGGCAAATATAGAGTTAATGTGTGGAGATTATAATGTCCCGTTTACTAAAATATGTATTGTTTTATGATGTTGAGTTGACAAAATAGTCACTGTGCTACATTTTGCTGCACTCAAGCATACTTCTGAAGACAAGAGTTGTGTCCCCCTTTGGCCACAAGGGGGAGTATATATATATTGTAATATATATATATTTTGTATAGATGTTGCAACTATACAGAGCTTTGGCAATACTATATGTAACTGAGGTCATGCTAATAAAGCTATTGAATTGAATTGAGTATACCTTTAAGTGAGCTGTCAGGAGGAAACAAAGGTTCGCCAACACATTGCACTACTGCTGAGAAAGGCTGTACGAAGACGTGAAACGATGTGCTGCAATGTCTGTATATTTTTGAAGAATGCCAAGTAAAGGAAGAAAGTAATAACTCGCACTGAGTCTTAATACATTACTTTATTTCTATTATATAACACTATCCAATGATTTATTATGTTTGTGTTACACACACCATTAACCTATACAACAATAGGGAGCCCTGGCTCAAGGACGGACAAAACAAGGACACCACACATGATTATTTTCCAATTACAGTATATTTATTTAAAGAGAGTAACTCAATTGTGATATCAGTTAATCAGTAATGTCTGTAGTGTACGGGTGTGTGATGTGTCAGCAGGGCCGGACTGGGACCATAGGTCAGGCCGGGAATTATACACCCAGCCAGGCCACTACCAGTTTTATTTGGGGGTGTTTTGCTGGATGTATCGTCAATATTTACAACGTTGCTGCCCGTAGTGATAGCCCTACAGTTTGAACCTACTACTTAAATAGAAACATATGGACATAGGATATTGTTAAAAAAAAGGTGTGCATATGTATTTGGGAACCTTTCCATGTGAACATGTTTTATGTGGGGGTGGACCTCAAATGGATTAAACTGTGATCAATAACTATAGTAACTTATTGAGAGAACATGAACATAGCTTGCTTATACTGTTGTCATTACATTTCCTTTGTTTTGTTCAGTGTTTTCATAGACATAGCCTATTGAAACAGTTTCCTCTGTACCTGCCAGTTCTGTCCACTGAGCTCTGCATCTCTCCCTCAGGGCCATCACCATCAGCATCATCTGATAGTGGAACTGAATAAGGAGAATATGTAATCATTACATTAACAACTATTTATGAAATAACATTATTCAAGAACATATATTATGCAACACTTATTTGATCACTTAGTTGACCCTGTATTTGCATGGCCTAATACCATAATGATTGTCTCCCCTTTAGACAACATAACCATCTCAAGTGATTCCCTCACAGTATGAGGGGTTTGTAGCCCCACAGTTAGCTGCAGTCTAACGGTTATATTACATATATTTGCCTTGAGTAACATTAAGGACATGTTTGGGTTTTGTGTAGCCTTATAGTCTCCAGTCACACAGGGCCTGCCACTAACTTAGCATTGGACTGAGAAACAGTTTTGTTGACAGTCGATGTGCACATCAGGCTACAATATAGAAAGAAATGTGGCTCATAATGTTCGCTCACTTACTTTCTGCTTCGTCATTCTACGGGGGGTTCTGAATAAATCAGTGATTTTAGGACATTTCGCTGCCTTTTTTTGCAGGATGGGGGTCCATCCTTCCACAATAATGAACCTTGCCGTCAGTTTCAGTCGGTCCAGTCCACACTACTGTAAACAGCAGCGCGCTGGTCTCGTGAGAAACGGAGAGTGGAACAACCAATCACATCTTCATTATTCTCCTGACATTTAAATGTGCGCATTCGCCAGTCTGACATAGACTGTATATATAAAGGTCTGGGGCCTCATTTATAAAGGGATATACGCTCAAAAAATGGCGTACGCCAGTTTCTACGCAATGTTTGCGATTTATAAAATACTAACTTGACGGGAAAATGTGCTGTCCTCCACGCAAACTCTAACCCATGCGTACGCACTAAGCACACAAACGGGAGAGACGAGAAACTGCGACACCGTTGGCAGAAGGAAGAATGGAGAGAAATATGTGGAAATAATACCATAAATAAAATGTTACCTCTCATTTATCAAATATGAAGAATTCATTTTCAAACATTGATTAAAGCCAATCTTTAAATGATTAAACAAACGCCTGTTTGAGACTCCTCAGTGCACACAAAAACATAACTTGGAGAAATAAATAAATACGGATATGCTATTTAAAACCACCTCGAATATGTTGTGTTAATGTTATGAAATGTTTTCTCATAAATGATGCGGTAAGCAGGAGGACAGAATTACGTCTAAACTGACGCCGTTTTGCATTTCTATAGGTTGTAGATACGAGTATGGTTTTATATACTATCACGTTTAATCATGTTTTATGCCGTTTGCCAAGACTTGATAAGCCGCTCGTAAAACACAGGAGGTATGGAAACTAAGAACACCATATGTGGTAAATTGTACAGCTAATATAACACAACACATTAGTTGTATTTCCTTTAACTGGTGGATTATGGATATATAGTTGCTGATCGACAGCTGGAACACAAACCACCAAATACAACAAAAATAATTCAGATTCAGTCGTCATGACTCCACTCCGGAGGGATTCCCCGATCATTTCTTAGTTTCTCATCAAGGGGGTGTCTCCTGTCCCCGGGACAAACACACTGCCTGAGGAAGGTTATGTGTATTTTTTTTGTCATTAACTTTTTTCGGACCACTTATTTATTTATTTTGGTGACGATCCGACCTCCATGCTGCTACTCTGGTTCAAACTGCATCCACCAAACAATATGATTTATCTCGACCTCCCCACAATAACCAAAATCTGACACGGTGTGAGATATCTTTTTTAGCTGTTCTGTCGTAATTTCCTGCGATCTTCTTCATGCAGTCAGTCAAAATGAATGAATGAATGGGCGTTTCTTTGACTATGTATAGGCAAATATGGGCGTTACGAGTCGATTGTGATTTATCAAGGGAAACAGGCGTAGGGAGTGCCGTACGCACTTCCCTCGCCGGTACGCAATGTTTTGTGAATCGGAAAATGGCGGAAAATTTCTGTACCTATTTTTGTGCTTTGTACTACGTAAGCAACCTTCCTACGTCAATCCTACGCAAGGCGTTATAAATGAGGCCCCTGGTCTGACAGGTGCGTGGTTCTCACTGCGCTTCATACCGGTGCAACTTTGAACACCTTCAATATATGCCGCATTAATGGATTTGGCCTGCAGTCACCGCATCTGGGCTGAATTAAACACGTATTATTTTAGTCCTGTGTGTTTATTAGAAGCCATGTCAGCAGGCCACATCACATCATGCCAGCGTTGCGTTCACAAGACATACAAGCCACAAACTGGCAATCGAAACATGCTACAACCTGAGGGACAGTGAATGAGACACACAGACACAGACACACCCACACACACCTTGAGGGAGGGAGGGACAGGTGATCGCAGTGCAGCGATCAGCTGTTCCCGAGCAGAGAGAGAGAGAGAGACAGCTGCTAGACACAACTCTTATTAATCCCCGTACCGGACAATTGTTATTTGTTCCAAATCGGAACCGGATTTCGGTTCCCGATCCTCATCACATCCCCAGCCACAGCCTTGGTCTTAACCGGTCTTGACATAAAATCTCGAGTCCTATAGGTCCGATACAGAGACAATACGAAACCAAATGCAGTCGATTCCGAGACCAATACCGTTAAAAAGTGGTCTGGAGACCGGTCTCGAGTACAACACCAGCAAATATTCTCATACTAATGATTATTAATTATTATTCCCCTCTCTTCTGATACCAATACTGTGCCGATGAGAAAGTGTACCTGTAACACTCTCCAAACTACTGTAGGAGCGGAATCATTCGAAAAATATAATATAGGATAATGCTATACAATGCTAACGGAGGCGAGACGTACGTTATTCACGCGCTTATCCACACGCACGTCATTCACACGCTTATGTACACGCTTATGTACACGTACGTTATCAACACGCGTATCTAAGATAGCACTTTCAAAGCTACGTGCCGCGCGTACTTTGAGCGCGTACTTTGAGCGCACCTATGATACGTCGCCGTGACGTCTGACGTCTGACAACGTCGTGACGTCGCCTGTATCGTACGTCAACCCATTCAAAATTGATGGAGGCGTTGGCACACGTTGACACGTTAGTTATCCGCTCAGTGAGCTTAGTTATCTGCTCTTTGGCACAAATCACACCTCATACACACGCACACACACACACACACACACACACACACACACACACACACACACACACACACACACACACACACACACACCATGTATACATCACTTTAGGGGACATTACATTGACTTACATGCATTTCCTGGAGACTTATCCTAACCTTAACAATAACCAACACATGCCTAACCCTAACCCTTACCCTTACCCTCACCAAGTCTTCACCCTAAAATTAATGATTCCCCTCATGGGGACCTCCATTATGTCCCCATAAGGGAGGCGAGTCCCCACACGTGACTGTGTAAACAGATGTAGGTCCCCACAAGGATAGTAATGCTAGGACACACACACACACACACACACACACACACACACACACACACACACACACACACACACACACACACACGAACGATCATAATTCTTGCCAAATAGAAAAATGATTGGAAACACATTTATTTTTGCTCCTCTCAGAAATGTCTCCTGTCAGGAGCAAAGACAAGACTCCGACAGCAAAGAAAGGTAAACAAATAAATACTTTTAATATTTGGTTTCTTCATCCAATTTCTCTCTTTCATTACATGTTCTGTTTTTAAAATGTAGGTTTTCATTTGTCAGATTCAGAGCCAATCAGACTAAAAACAAGATGAATACTTTTTCAAACTAAAACAGTTTTCTTTACAATATTCGTATAAAATACAAGATGTAAAATCCAGCAAAAAACGTTAAGCTATTTATAATTGTTTTGAACTTTTCAACAAAGAAACTGCTAGATTTGTAATTAAAATAATTTATCAAAAATAATTCTGTATTGATTTGGAGTCAACAGTGCACAGAATATGGGGAAAAACCCTCTAAAACTGTTGATTTTTTATCAAATATTGACATAAAATTTACAAAAAAACTACTAAAAGAGGAATGTCTTATTCCTCAACCGCAGTAATAATATCTAGTGTGGGATCAGTGGGTCTTGCATTACAGGAGTTTTGATACATGGACAAACAGACTTTTTTTTAGATGCACTTGATAGCTTTTTATAGCTTCTTGCTTATCACCCCTAGTAAGATTGTCTGTGTGTTTTAATTGTCTGTTTTCGTATGTGCACTGTGACAGTGTTAGTAAAAAATCTCCTTGTATATTAGTTTTATAATGACAATAAAGGCTTTATATTCTATCCAGTGGGTCTTGCATTATATATGTTTTGTTTATGCAGATGTTAAACCCAGAATTTTATTGACGTTATTGATATTTTGTTCAGATCCAGAGCCGATCAGCCGCCTGAGAGCGAGACTAGAAGATGTGAGGAAAGCAAACGTCACGTCTCAGGCGAAAGAGGAGAAGACGGCCAAATCTCCTGAAGCAGGTAACAGAGATTTCAATTGAACTTCAGTATGAGACAGACATTATATACCTTACAAGCTTTTATAGGCATGTAGGAAAGAGCTGGAACAACAAAGGATCTTGATTTGATTGTCTTTTTATTTTCAGCCAAGACTAGGTCAAAATCATCAGCAGACTCAAAAAGTAAGTCTAATATTTTTAGTTTTTTTTTACACTTTTACATGTTGTTTTAGTCTTGAAAGGAGCCGGCACTTTCTATTAACATCCTCCTTATTAAAAAGAGCAATATTTAAAAATTAAGAAAAGTATTATGGTCACGTTGAACATTTTTATAAAGCCTTTTTAGAACTGATTGGAGTCATTAATATCATTTAAACACAAGTGGCAGTAGCAGGGAAATAAATGAAGTCCCTACTGACTTTCAATTATTTATTAACATTGACACATTTAAGAATAAATGGGCTGTTTTATGCATTATAAAAAGGTCCAATTAGCGACACGCCAGGCTGCGTTACACTGAGAGGAGGACGACTGCAGGGGGATTTAATTAACACCACAGTACAGAGCGTTATTCGGCGGGTTTGAATTAGATTGTCTCTTCTCTTTCAGGCAAATCTGAGAAGGCTGAAAAGAAATCTGTGAAAGAGTCTGAAGGTAGGAATAGAGAATGAGAAGGTGTGTGTGTGTGTGTGTGTGTGTGTGTGTGTGTGTGTGTGTGTGTGTGTGTGTGTGTGTGTGTGTGTGTGTGTGTGTGTGTGTGTGTGTGTGTGTGTGTGTGTGTGTGTGTGTGTGTGTGTGTGTGTGTGTGTGTGTGTGTGTGTGTGTGTGTGTGTGTGTGTGTGAGGCAAATATTTAATATTAATCTGTTTTTCCTCTTCCTCCTCTCACTTTTTAGACAAGGAGAACAAACCAGCAAAAGCCAGTAAGTGTGACATTCACTCATCTCCACTGCTAATAATATCCAATTATTAACACGTCTTTTAACTTAAATGTGAACAGTGTTATTATAGCATCATGCATAATACTCTGTTCTAATAATTGTAGTTTTAACGCCAATTTCAGACCAGATAAAAGTGGACATATGATAGGATACACCTCTTTTAATTGGATTTATGTCCACCATCTATTCATCATTTCATTAATAAATACAAATAAATGCTGACTTGTATCACAATGCTGCAACTATATAAAAAATGCTTTGTTTATTTTGAGTCACCGGGTCACATGACATCAAGTCGATTGATAAAATCCAAGTGTTGACAGCAGTCTGTAAAAGTGAGTGTCAAGTGTCCAATATCCATCCCAAAAGTAACTTCATTGCAGTCCACACTTTATCTCAATGATGTACAAACGTACTTTTTTCCAAACAAAACCATGATTTTGTTCTAAACCTCACCTGGTAGATGTGTTGCCGAAACGTAACAAAGTTCATTTTGATTCAAAATACAAAGCTAATAAGATAGTAATGTGGGAGGGAATCCATTTCAATCAAGGCTTAATTGAGAGTTTATGTTGTATGGGAATGTTATTTTGGTTTGGTTTGGAAAATGACCCAAAAGCAAGACTTTTACTTACATCAAAAACAGGCAAATTTACCTGAAAACAAACATAATCCAGAACATAAGCAAAGTAGAACATCTGGAAGGAAATGATTGGAAATGTTCTGGTATTTATACTGGAGTCTGATTAGGGAAATGTGAAGCAGGTGTGCAGGTGGGGGGGGGGGGGGGGGGGGCGGAGGTCAGGTGACAGGAAGTGATTTACTGCAGGAGGGAGGGGCATGCTAGCTTGAATACAGGGGAAAGAAGTATTTAAATCTTTAACTTACGTCAAAGTAATAATAACAAACACAAGTAAAACTCTGCATTAAAAAACGTACTTAAGTAAAAGTGTTATCAGGCAAATAAATATCAAAAATACAATTTATTTTCTCCTTTATTCCTTTGGGTAATCTTTATTATAGGTCAACAAAACGTACTTATTCTATCACATGTTTTATACTATAATCTTAATGAAAAAATAGCACCTTTATTGTGTTACATACAGTAAGGTGGTTCATTATTTCTTATTATAAGCCCATAAAATGTGATGCATTATCATCATTTGTTGTACTTAAAAGGTAGAAAATAACCAAGTTGTGTGAGAAATGTAACAATATGCAATAGTACATGTAAATACTCAAGTAAAAGCTGTACAGTACATGAGGAAATGTACTACTTTCCTCCAGCTGGATTCCCACTAGTCAATACAACATATAAGATATCAAAAAGGATAAATTAAGAAACATATTAAGTCTTTTTGTTAAATGTTTTACACCGTATGCTTGTTGTTCATAGAGAATGGAAAAAGGGCTTCCTGTAGAGCTTGAGGTATTCAGTTCATTTCCTCCTTCTTCCCACTGGTTGACTCAACATGAATCTGCTGTAATGACATCATGATCCTAAATTATTATTATATTTATTTAATGAGATGAGCTGATGGAGTCCAGATTACCGGCCTCCAGTCATCGCCACGGATTATGTGACTTTTGATGAATTCAGCAACAATAACACTTTAGACAAATTGATTAAACCCATGAAGCAGAACCCATTCAAGTGTTAGAGCTCTGTTCTTAGTGAGTCATCCAGTGGAGAATAAACCCCCCCTCACACACACACACACACACACACACACACACACACACACACACACACACACACACACACACACACACACACACACACACACACACACACACACACACACACACACACACACACACACACACACACACACACACACACACACACTTCCCCGAGTGACTCCACACTTTCCTTTTTAACGTCTGGCGCACTGTTTCCTGTTTCTTGGAGCAAAAATTGTTTGATTTCTGTTTAATTTGCTGCAATATCTGTAAAGATGTGTGTTTTTTGTATTACTCTATAGATTCTATACCAACCAATAATCCAAATTAACTGTTTTACAACTCATAAACCAATCTATATTTGACTTTTTGGCCCTGTAAAGTGCAGAAGAAGTCTTGATTTTCTCCATAAATGTATGTTAAAATCAATCTGACATTGGGATTCTCCTCTCACTAACGGGAGAGTGAAAGTCTCTCTTTTTCTTTCTCTTTCCAGACTGTTTTCCTCCCATCACTTAAATGCATGTCATCCTTTGTCTTCTTTCTCTCTTTCTCACAGTCTCACAGTCTCACAGTCTCACAGTCTCACAGTCTCACAGTCTCACACTTGACTATAAAACTGACGTTATATAACAATGTGTGAATTCCCATTTCTTGCAGAGGAGACCGCGACTGATAAAAGTAGCAAAGAGAAGAAGAAACCAAGTAAGAGTTGCTTTACTTTTGGGAAATGGGGATTATTGGAGGTTTATTTCACTATTATTATTTTATTAGTTTTATTTAAAGGTCCCCTATTATTTAAAATCCACTTTTTCATGTCTCTTCTACATACAGTAACCATGTGTCCCCTCTGTGTAAAGAGACTCTGAAAGTTTCAGGAACAAAGATTCTCTCTCTTTTTCTCCTGATCCATTTATATAAAAACCTGTCTGAAAATGAGCTGATCAGATTTTGGCCACTTTATGATGTCATAATGATGTTTTGTCTTGTGTAACCATTAGCCAATCAGCAACCAAGGTAACCCCCCCCCCCCCCCCCCCCCCACCTTATCACCTGAATCTCCTCCTAGAGCACCATTGAGTTCTTTTTAACCAAATCTCTCTCAGAGGGGCGTGGGGAGGGGCTCCTTATTTTCATCTAAAGTAACAGACAGAGAATCAGCACTTTGGAAACAGGGCTGAAACAGAGGGGATTATGGGATGCTGCAATGATCTGTTTGGTGCTTCGAGCCAAACACTTCAGAGACATGTTTGTATATATCTAAGACCTATAATAAATTGATGTTAAACAGTATAATAACGGCCCTTCAAGTCCCAGGCTCATCTGGTGCTGTCCAGTGCAAATTGGATGAACTACAAATCACAATATAATATAAACTTTTAATCTTTTATTTATGATCGATCTCAATTCAAACAAAACAACACCTTACAAGGACACCTTACAATTCATAAAATATTCTAAGGAAAGGTTTAAGACAGTACAAAAGGATCGTAACAGGGAACATGTTGGGGAGACAGGGGACATGTAGCACTACAGTGAGTAGGCTGATCTGAACAGGTGGGTTTTGAGGAGGGTCTTGAATGTGGTGATTGTGTCAGACTGTCGGATGTGAAGGGGGAGAGAGTTCCAGAGATGAACACATGATGCTCTTATATGCAATGCGTTGCTGATCCCTTCTTCTCTCTCGGTGTCTCCACAGGTCAGAGATTCTTCCAGTGCGTTTACGTCCCCGGTAGAAACGCTCAGTACCCGTTACGACCTTTAACCCCGGCCATGTCCCCCGCCATGAGGTCCCCCGCAATGAGGTCCCCCTCCATGATGTCCCCCTCCATGATGTCCCCTGCCATCAGGTCCATGTTGGAGCAGCAGCAGAAGGCGGCTCGAGCGTCGGGACAATAAGACAAACTCTCTGAAAACTGAAAACTCTGCAGCCCCCCGTCCAGCAGGGGGAGACCTTTTCTAAATCTGTGGATCCTCAAACTCGGAGGAAAACCACAGACAGATAGATGAGAGGACAGAAATATGTTGTCTTTAATTTATTTATGTATATTTCTCTCCATGTGGTCGAGCTCCTGTTGATATCTCCCATCGCTGCCATGCTTTAGATTTGATGCATTTTTTTATTTATTTTCTTGGTTGGCCCATACATGAACTTTGCTCATTTCTTTTTCAGGCAGCATTAGTTAAATTAAACAAAATTAACTATGTATTTTGACAAAAATCTAATTTATGTGAATATAAAAACTAATCCCAAATATTAGTAATTTAGGCAAAATTGAATGAACATAAATTGGCATAATGTTGTTTTCAGTTTGCGTTTGTAGTCAAGTTTAATATTGATGTATTTAATGTGCATATGTTATCTAATTTAACATAATTGAAGGCATTTGCTCTGACAAGAACATTAAGCATTTGCTTTGTTACATGATCAATTAAAAAAACATAACAGAATATTAATTTATTCAGTCATAATAATTCCAAATGTGGATATTATTTTGCAAAGAAACTTAAAGTGGACCTGTCATGCTATATTTGTATAATATATTGTAGGGCCATACCTATATAAGGCATATTTATATGTTTTCTTTTTCAAAATACCAAACAGATCATGCATTTTAGCCATGCCTCATTTCGCTCTATTTTGCTCTCCTCCACCCTGTCTTTGCATGCGCTGCAGCTGACCACGCCCCCCTGCAAAGGAGGGGGCCGAGTTACGAGCGTTGTGTTACCATGCTGTTACCATGCCACGGCAACCTCTCATTCCCCTGATAGGTGGAGAGTTGGCCATATAGGCGGAGCTCCTCCGTCCTGGCGTCAGCGAAATGTTCAAATCTGGATCAGTCTGTATCAGATCCGTTGCAGCCCCGTTTTTAGAGATTTGGGTATGGAGGAAAATAGAGAGGGTTGTGTTTTCTGATACTTGGTGAGTTCCCTGGAACACCGGGGACACATATTCATGTATAAAAGATGTACAAAAGTGCATTTTGCATGATAGGTCCCCTTTAAAAAACGTATTAAAAAATGAGAATAAATATAGATATTGCTTGTATCGGACATGATGGGATTACCCATTACTTGAATGGGCATGTTGCATAATTCAGATTTTTTATTTTACTATTAGAGCTGTTATCTTTAGCTAGTTTTATCTTTTATTTCTAATCATAGATTCAAAACACCCTTACCCTGCGTCGCGTAACGAGAGCATGTTGTGTTTTAAATGCACCAGATTAGCATGTTAATGTTCGGAGGGTGAAATCCCAGGAGCTCCCACATCTGATCCCAGCATCCTCCCTGTCTCTGATCCCGAGTCTCATCAACATGATAAACGTTGGTAAATGAATAATGATGATGCATTTCCTTCTTACATTACCTAATTATAGGCAGGAGTAAAGAGCCCAGTGTATGAACCTGCAGGACGTGCTAAAATAACACACTTCATTTAGTTAAAAGAGATCCTTTGACATGTTAAAATGCAATTATTTGATGGTTTTAATTCCCAGAAACAAATGCATTTATGTCGGTTTTGAGAAACAGTTGCTAATTTAACTTCAAATAAGTGAAAATAAGGGCTTGAAGTAATAGTATCCAGTATATGAGATCCTCATCTAATACTACTGATATGTTTATACTTGAGTAATGTTCTTTTATAATAAATAATTGGCAATTCTCTAAATCTTTAAAGCTTAAAAGTCAGCTTTTTTCTTAAAAATGTGTGTAGTTTCAATTTCCCACAATGCTGCATATTTTATCACCTAGGATCTCTAACAGTTTAAATATGAGCTTTATTTAGACATACATAGTGATTATAACATTTTCAGAGACAGGGAGTCTGCACAGGATGACTTTAATGACCAACTAATGAGACGCTGTGATGTCTACAGTGGATAAATGTCATGTTACTGATCAGCTTATTTACAGAGCTTGATACATGTTTTCATATTTTCTGTTACCTCACTCGCTTTGGTTTTGTACCTTCAAGGCTGCAAAACTGTAGCTGAGCTTTTATCGGCAATTTGCTGTTGTCTTACTGAGTGAAAACCAGAGAACCAAAAGGGTGTTTTCACACTGTTAATCCCGGGATAACACACACATTAGTCAAGGGTTTGATGTAGATTTCGTCTAACACGTTGTTCACACTCACAGACTGAAAGTGTACGATTATTTCCTCCATGTTTTGCAGTGTAAGACACTCTTACCTAAAGTTTAACCCACAGTTTACTATTCCTTGTATTGCAGGACTATCCTAAACCTTTTCACGGTTATTCCCCAAAAAGTCTTAAGGTGTGTTCAGAGGCGATGCAGATGCATACAAAGTAAAATGAAAAATGTGAGGGCATAGGAACATTTGCAGATTCAATGAGTAGTGCAAACATCCTAAAACACTTCTATTCAAGCAAAAATAATGCACTAATCCTGCAGCGATTAATTCACTTACCTATTATGGTACTGCTTCTATGGGTGTCAAGATATACCCGTATGATAACTGTGATAAAAGAGACAATTGTGCAGTGAAAATCTTATTTCCAGACAGCTTTAGTTGCTACCAAGCTAACAGCACAACCCAGTTCGTGTTATAGTCACGAAATGGATCTATTGATTCGTGTTTACCAACATGATTTCCAAATTTTTTTCGTGTCACAAAGAACGATTTTAGAAGCAATGTATTTTTATTGGTAGTATGTTTCGTGCCTGCACCAAATAATAACAAATTAGAAGGAAAAAAATTATTAAAAAAATACAGATTTCAGTATTCTGAGGTTCTGAGCCCCATTTATTTTCCTCGCGGACGGCACAAAAAGTCCGACATTATACAATTTAAAATAAAAACAATAATCGTGGCTTGATATTGAGTAAGAAAAGGTTTTTATGAACCACACAGCTTCTGGTCTTCCAAGATCCGACCGGACAAAAAGACGTGGTGCAGGCACGAAACACACTACCAATAGAAATACATTGCTTTTAAAATCGTTCTGTGTGACACGAAAAAAATGGGAAAATCGTGTTGGTGAACACGAATCAATAGATTAAATTAATTTTGTGACTATTACACGAAATGCCGTGAAACTGGGTTGAACAGCAACATCTGGCCCCTGTTAAGTTTGTTATTGGCTATTTGAGGCCCCACTTATAGCACAAACAGTGAGAACAATGCTTTGTGTTTGCTCTGAATGCACCTTTAAGATCAGTGGTGTGAATCTGGGTTGGAACCAAAGCAATCTATGATAGCTGTGAGCAGTTAGCTGTTAGCTGTTAGCCGTTAGCGGTTAGCTGTTAGCGGTTAGCATAAGTGTGAATACTGAACCCGAGGCTCTAAGTAAACTCTGGGTTAATGAGTCCATGTGTGAAATGAGGTGAAAGCTCTCAGCACATCCTGTCAACAGGCCTGAGAAATGTTACAGGGAGGGAGCTCATGGACAAATAACATCTGACATCCTGGTACATTAGCAGCTTACTGAGTGTGTGTACTGTTGGAGAGGCATTTAGGAGACACCTGGAGATGGTGTGTACTTCAGGTGCGTTTGTTTATAGAGGAATTATTCCAGTGGGGAGATGCAGCAGGAGGCGGCTGCTCCAGAGACTTCAGCTGTTTAGCAGCTGCTCATATTAACAGACAGTTGCAGCTGGGGGCTGTAACGTGTTTAAAATATAATATACTCTCACTAGACTGTATACAACATAAGATTGTGCAATGCTGTTAAGAGCACGCCTTTTCCTGCTCGTTGTCACTGCACTCTGGCAGATGAGAAAGTACTGTATGTGCACTTGAAGCATAAAACAAACACACTTAGCATATTTACTTTAGCTGTTTAAGTTTTGCTGACCATTTCACAGAGACCATGTTATATTTATCAGTCAGTAAAATACATTTGGAGCAAGTAGGCCTACTCCTGAAGTCAAGAGATGTAGTAAAACCCTCAGAGGATGTTGGAGGGATAAATGAGTCAAAAAAACACTTGAGAAAATTAATTGTGGAGTTTATTAAGTAAAGAAAGAACATTATGTTATTGTACGTACCGCGATTAAATCACAATCGTTTACTAGACTTAACTAAGTGGTTTTGTTGCCTTAACGTAACCAAGTTTAAGTGATAATGCGGAGAATACTGCAATCAGATGTAAACAATGAATGTATTTAACATTCATATTCTATATTACAACTACATAAAGTGCCTTAAACATACAATTAAAACCAGTCTATGTTTAATCTACTGCAACAATAGTATAAACAATATATCTTTTGTGTTATTTGGAACATGAGGGTCAATTTAGGAACAAGTGTTAAACAGAAGGCAACAATGAATTATGACTTAATGAATATTGGATAGGATGTGAGCTTTCCAGCTTGCAGGAGAACACATGTAGTTAAGTTAATGTAATGTTTTTAACTAATTGTTTTTCTTCATGAAGTGCCTATAAAGTGTACAGTAGCCAGCAGAGTCAAAGACAGAAACAGCTCCATGTGTGCTTTGCATCACACAGTTTATGGCTGTTGTTTATAATATATGCTGACAGTGATTGGCTGTTTTAAACCAGGTTTCTGAAAAGTGTAAAGCCTGGAGGAAAATGAGGAACGTGCCGCAGTAGCTGCTGTTCCAGAGTAAATGTTTTAAAACTACTTTTGTAAAGATTTCAGAAGACGTTCACATGTGTGACTGAATGTGAGGAGCTTGTTTTGTGAATGAAATCTACAGTATTCATTTCAAAAGTTAAAGTCAATAGAAAATGTGATGATTTTGTTGCAAAAAGAGACGATTAATCGCGAAAAATGCGAGTTTTTTTCATGTTTCTTTTGGAGAAATGACCTCCACTTACAATTATGATTTGAGGTTGTTTAGAAGGATCACTTATTGTCAATGTTTCTTATTGAATTTGCATGATGGTGTCATTTAAAGGAAGTACAACAACACATGTTTGAGTTGTAATATCCAGTGTAAAATACCCAACAGTCGGTCAGGAGCTGTATAAAGACTGTAGATAATAGTTTCTTTTATTTGTTGCACTCACCTCATAAACTATAAGAGATACAAATTATTTCATACACTGGTTTTATTTTGTAAAAAAGGTAATTTGTTTGAAAAAGGGACGATTGTTTTGACTGTGATGTTGGCAATAACTTTATCTAGTATCCCAACAAGACGACACAAACTACCTGTTGCATGTATGATAAAGCAGAGGTGTATGATAGGATGCCTTTATCACTGTTTTAAAACATTTTCGGTGCCAAATAAATGTAAAAAATGATATTTCAGGCACTTAAGATACTGAGGCTGTCTGCTGTGGTGTAGAATATAATCACCAAAGTGCATTTTGTGAGTCATCATTTCAATAAATATTTGCAGAAATTTGTGAGGCCATTATCTGTCTTTCTTTTCATTTATCGTAGGCTAGAATAATTTGTGAGATATTGTTGGTGCATGTAAATGTTCTGCAAAGGTTGCGTTCTGGTTTCCGACAGAGGGTGAAAAGAGGTGCTGCAGCACAGGCAGTATGTAAGTAAGCATGGAAACATGTCACAGTAGAGACACTACATACTGATATACACCTGAACATCAGCAGGAGAGGACTCTTTAAAGTAGAGACACTACATACTGATATACACCTGAACATCAGCAGGAGAGGACTCTTTAAAGTAGAGACACTACATACTGATATACACCTGAACATCAGCAGGAGAGGACTCTTTAAAGTAGAGACACTACATACTGATATACACCAGAACATCAGCAGGAGAGGACTCTTTAAAGTAGAGACACTACATACTGATATACACCAGAACATCAGCAGGAGAGGACTCTTTAAAGTAGAGACACTACATACTGATATACACCTGAACATCAGCAGGAGAGGACTCTTTAAAGTAGAGACACTACATACTGATATACACCTGAACATCAGCAGGAGAGGACTCTTTAAAGTAGAGACACTACATACTGATATACACCTGAACATCAGCAGGAGAGGACTCTTTAAAGTAGAGACACTACATACTGATATACACCAGAACATCAGCAGGAGAGGACTCTTTAAAGTAGAGACACTACATACTGATATACACCAGAACATCAGCAGGAGAGGACTCTTTAAAGTAGAGACACTACATACTGATATACACCTGAACATCAGCAGGAGAGGACTCTTTAAAGTAGAGACACTACATACTGATATACACCTGAACATCAGCAGGAGAGGACTCTTTAAAGTAGAGACACTACATACTGATATACACCTGAACATCAGCAGGAGAGGACTCTTTAAAGTAGAGACACAAAATACAAATATACACCTGAACATCAGCAGGAGAGAACTCTTTAAAGTAGAGACACTACATACTGATATACACCTGAACATCAGCAGGAGAGGACTCTTTAAAGTAGAGACACAAAATACAAATATACACCTGAACATCAGCAGGAGAGGACTCTTTAAAGTAGAGACACTACATACTGATATACACCTGAACATCAGCAAGAGAGGACTCTTTAAAGTAGAGACACAAAATAGAAATATACACCTGAACATCAGCAGAATAGGGCCGCTTTAAAATAATAACCCACACTTACTGCACAGTATATTGAAGATATCAGTTTTACCGAGCGTCGCCAAAATCTTCTTTTCCTTCGGCTCAAACAGGAAACAGGAAGTCGTCTTGATCACTGATTTCCTGCAGCTGCCAAATACTGAGCAATAATTAAAGAGACAAGCCACAAAATCAAACAAAATGTGAGAACATGTGTGTGTGTCCATATTTATTTTGCTCGTTTTACATGATGCATTTCAGCGAATTGTCTTTGATGACATTAATACATTTAACACCTGCTAACTGAACAGTTTTTTGCTCCTATAATAAACCGGCTTTCTGTTATAACTTCACAATTTCAGCTTTGAGTTTGGTCTCCTCTTCAGCTCCTACTGTCACTATACAATCAAAGAACAGTGATAAGAAAATCAACATAACTGGTAGATATGCATTCATTTTCAGCGCATTATCAATCATTAGAAAATAAAGTCATTCAGTGTCCAAATTCTCAAAGCACAAGAAGAAATACATTTTTGTTAATGGTGGCTTTGGCTGAGATAAATCAAACATTAGTCAGTGAGAAATTATTCTTGTTAGTCCAAGAAAATACATAACGAGTGAGTGTACATTCACAAAGCGCAATTGATCACATTTTGATGCATTTTGTGAAGAAAAGACTGAATAAAATAGAGAAATTGTATATTTTTTGCACACTTTGATTGAGTCCACGTTTACGAGGGCCGACAGGTGCAAACGTTAAATCAACATTTTGGAAAAAACCTCCAGGACGTATTCCATTTAAAATGTAAAGCCATGAACATGTCCGTATTGATCGGTTTCAACAGGTGTGTGAAATGGATTCAGCAAAAATATTTGATGCAAGGTCAGCAGGAAAGACGAAACAACAACACAGAAAAAACATTCAAACGGCTGAATTTCTTTAAAAATAAAAAAACTAACTTCATAATTCTGTTTACAATTTATACAACATATACCAATCTGTCACCTGTGGAATAAACAAGGTGGATAGCTTGAGATTTTAATAAAATACTGACAAGAAAAAGTCTTAAATGTGTGGTAAAGCACAAAGCATCACCCCCATAAAGTATATTTGTAATAAAATGTAAATTTGTACCTGTGTGTTATTGTGTTTCTCTAAATACTCTACCATTTACAACAGCAGTCTGTAACCTAACACTGTAACTCTGAAAATAATCAATCATCCTGCTCTGTGTTATATTCACGCAGTATACAGATGTTTATTAAATGTAAACTTTGCATCCTAACAACTGGAAGCATCTACAGTGGCTGTGTGTGTGTGTGTGTGTGTGTGTGTGTGTGTGTGTGTGTGTGTGTGTGTGTGTGTGTGTGTGTGTGTGACCTAGCATTACTATCCTTGTGGGGACCTACATCTGTTTACACAGTCACGTGTGGGGACTCGCCTCCCTTATGGGGACACATACAGTATGGGGTGTGTGTGTGTTGTGTGTTTATGGTGTGTTTTCCCTCCCTTCTCCTTGACTGACATCATGAAAGCTCAACTGATTCCTGATTGTTCTGCCTTTTCCTCTATGTGTGTGTGTTATAATGGTGGAAAATAAACCTCAGATTTCTACGAAATGCACGGACATCATTTTAAAACACTTGATACACACGGTTTCTGGTTTCTTGTTTGACCCACAGTTCGTTACAGTCTCTCTGATGTGCACAAAACTGGCAGCTGTACAATTTTCCCCAAATTGTCTAAACTGAGTAACGCCTAAAATGGCTGAAAAAATCCAGCGTTTCTTCCTTTATTATCAAACATCAATAAGATTTGACAAAAATGGTATTGATGTTAATCCTAAGTATTTTTTAGGGAAGCAATATAGGTTCAAATGACTGTCTCACGAATCAGTACAAATAACGTTTTTTGCTAACATTAGCTACAGCTGTTTAAGCAAAAGCGGGCTAGAAAGGAGATGCTTGCTATTGTTATCTTCTGTTTTCTGTTTTAATAATAACTACAAACTTTCAGTGGTTAATCTGCCAGTGTTATCAACATAAATTGCACATGTGCTGTGCATGTGAGAACAGAAACAAGGGCCAATAAAGTGGTGCAGCAATGAGTCCTAACGCTTTGTTCTACGACATAAAATACGTCAGTAAATATACCCCACTGGTGAATTAGCGGTGGTGACGTGAAGTCATGTGACCGTGCTGTAGTTCCTTTATAGCCTCACTTTAGCTTTTTACTTTTGGCGATTGCATTCACACTTTACTTATCATAACATTGTCTTAATAGGTGGAAATCATCCTGCTGAACAAATCATGTAAGTATCACAAATGTGAGTTTGCCACAGAGCTTTTTTTTGTTGTTGCAATAATCTAAAATCAAGTGTAAACATCCCATTTCTTTTAGTTGAGGGAGTCCTTGCAATGCCACAAAAATAAGTCACCACCGCACCGCTCTTGTAATCCTGTAATAAGGGAATTTAACCTTAAAGGGGACCTATCATGCAAAATGCACTTTTGTAGTGACGCTGTAGTCTGCCACAAAAGCAGCGAAGAAGACTTCTCACAGAATCAGCCCTTGCAAAAACAGGGCTGGAAAAGAGCAAATAGAGCGAAATGAGGCATGGCTAAAATGCATGATCTGTTTGGTATTTTGAAAAAAAAACTTCACAGACATGTTTTATATAGGTATGGCCCTACAATATAATATTCAAGTATAGCATGATAGGTCCACTTTAAATAGCACTTTTCCTGTGAGACAATAGAGCTTTCAGTACAGCTTTGGTCTGCTCTCAGAGGGTTGACTGACCACATGTTAAATTGTTAAATAAAACATCACTGTTACATGTGTCAGATTGTTATCTCGGCCTGATTTCCGCGGCGCTGGGATCACAGCGAGGCTGCAGCAGTCTCTCTCTCTCTCTGCACAGTTAAAGCCTCTGAGCGGTTGTGAGTGAGGGTGACATGTCCTGCTCGCTGTGTGATAGTTTTACATTCCAGCTGTCTGCTCTGGTTGCAGTCGCCTCACACTTCCTGCCTGCCGGCCTCTCTCTGATCCGCTGTCTGCTCGCAGCCCGACTGGCTTTTCCTCAGTCACATTCGGGTGTCATTCCTCGTGCAATGTGACTGGAGTTGCTTAATTGAAAGAGCCTAAAGTACAGTAACCTTCAGCTGGTGCCAGTTTCATATGAAGAAATATATTTTTGGAAGTCAGTGTAGCATAAGAAATGGTGAGTGGAGCAAACAGAAATACATTTGGTGGTGTTTTTATATATCTTCACTGCAGTAGAAGCTCGTCCAAGTGCAGAATTTAAATGAAAATACGTAACTACATTAAAATATTGTAATATAAATATGTAAAATAAGACTTTTCTGAGGTAAAACTTGAATATTTACTGCATATGACTTAAAGCACACATTAAATTACTGGCAACTTATACCGGTCATTTATAACTCTGTGTTTAATCAGCTTGTAAACGTTAATTAAGTCTGCAGGTCAGGTGCGTTCAAGTGCTGTTGGACAATTGAGACTTAAAGGTGCCAGTTGGGTTTTTTCTTATAACCACAAAGAGAGAAATATGTTTAGTGTTTTTTAACAAAACATGTGTGTGAATGTGAGTATCCTCGAGGTGCAAAACACATTTTTATGTAAAGTTTATGTCATTCTGCACTGTTTTTATGTCATTTTTTGATAGCTGGCAGTCTTTTTTCCTTGCTTTTGTCAGTGCAAACACATCGCCTGTTACTTAAAAAATACTTTACTGGTCCTAACCTCAACGCCCCGTAGAGTTACTGACAAAAAAGGGCAAAATAAGTGAATTACTGAAGTTTGTTTTCACATGATAGCACATTAATGTTCAATCAAACCTGTTAATTAATAGTTGGATGTGAAATGTGATTGAAAGCTCATAAGTGTTAAGGAGTCTAAAATGGTACTAATACTGATTAAAAAAACACCAATAATATACTGAAACAATGCAAATAAATAAGTGCAATTTTTAAGTAAAACATGCAGAAAATGCGTCGTTAAATCTTATAATACTGACGTGTTTGAAAACAGAGACTGTGGTTATGTAAGATCATTATTGGCAGAAAGAGTGTCAACGGAGAGGGTGGTATGTTTGACCTCTTTGCTTTTACAAGACTATCCTTAATATTAAATCCTCAAAATACATCTTTTGGTCATCTTCAGCCAAAGAAGATGAGGGGAGTCCTGTTTTTGTTTACTTGTGGCAGAATAAATACTGAATTCTGTGACATATGGATCAGAAAAAGAGGAGAAAAACACATAATTTATAAAGACAGCTCTTACCGTAAAGGGGGGTTTGCTTTTCTACGAGATAACGGCATTTCAGATATTATTTTCACAGGAAAGTCGCCCATAACCTCCCAGTAATCTCAGAGTAATCCCAGTGCCTGCCTGTCTGCCAGTTTTGTGTCCAGGAGGTTGAACAAGCTCATTATCGACACTAATCCTGAGCCGTGCTTCTCCAAATTACTGTACCAAAAAAACAAAAAGACTGCAGCTCGGGAACTGTGTGAAGTATTGTTTCCAGTTTTTGACTCGTCAGCCATGTTTTCACACATTTCTGATATCTTCTCAACTTCCTCTTTGTCTCCACACTGAGCGGCTGGATTGTTCACATTTACAGTTTCTTTTGGAATTGGCACTTGACAAATAACTTAATAAATAAATAAATATATAGACCACAGCAGTAGCTGCTCCTTCTGTGTGAGGAAACGTCCCTATCGTCCTTTTCTGCTTCCTCTCGTGAATTTTTCCTCCAGTTCAGGAGAGAAACAAGAGTCCAGAAGCAGCAGCGTTTTTTTTCTTGCAGGAAGGTGTTTGCAGGTGCACAGGTAAGTCAGTGTGTTTGTTTGTGTGTGTAGATATTGATTATGCTTCTGAGTGTGAGTGTGTGGATTAGTCCAGCGAGAGCAGCGGCTGCATGTTGTCCTCGTCACTTTTCACTTTGTCCGGTCGCTTCAGGACGCCCGGCTCCACCACAGACTGAGACCTGCAGAAACACAACACAGGTGATCAGATCTGAATCATTGGATACTCTTTATTATTATTATTATATATTTATTTTAACAAGGACCATGCATACAAATACATTCATCTCAGAAAAGAGAAGAGATGAATTATGCCAGATTATAGCTACACAACACAGGTGATCAGACTAACTGCCTGTAATATTGGACACTCTTTATATAATTGCATGTTGAGATTGGCCCACTTTTGGATCAGAAATGCATTTATTGGAAATGCAGCATTAAAATGTTTGTCTCCTGATGATCGTTATGTTACCCTAACCCCCCCACATTTACATACAGCTGGGTCGCTTAAAAAGGACATATTATGCTGATGTTCAGATGTATATCAGTATGTAGTGTCTCTACTTTAAAGAGTCCTCTCCTGCTGATGTTCAGGTGTATATCAGTATGCAGTGTCTCTACTTTAAAGAGTCCTCTCCTGCTGATGTTCAGATGTATATCAGTATGTAGTGTCTCTACTTTAAAGAGTCCTCTCCTGCTGATGTTCAGGTGTAAATCAGTATGTAGTGTCTCTACTTTAAAGAGTCCTCTCCTGCTGATGTTCAGGTGTATATCAGTATGTAGTGTCTCTACTTTAAAGAGTCCTCTCCTGCTGATGTTCAGGTGTATATCAGTATGTAGTGTCTCTACTTTAAAGAGTACTCTCCTGCTGATGTTCAGGTGTATATCAGTATGTAGTGTCTCTACTTTAAAGAGTCCTCTCCTGCTGATGTTCAGGTGTATATCAGTATGTAGTGTCTCTACTTTAAAGAGTACTCTCCTGCTGATGTTCAGGCAGGGGCGGACTGGGATTACAAATCAGCCCGGGACTCTCGACTGGCCCACTTCGGTACCGCCGGCCCACCTCGGTAAATACCGAGGAAATTGTCGACGGGGGGGGGGGGGGGGGGGTGGGGTGCTAGCGAGTTATCCGAGCGGCCCACATCGTCCGACCGGCCCACTTCAGTACCGGCCCATCGGGATTCATCCCGAACGTCCCGATGGCCAGTCCGCCCCTGTGTTCAGGTGTATATTTCCTTACGGGGACAATAAAGTATATCGTATCGTATCGTATCGTATCGTATCTTATCGTATCGTATATCAGTATGTAGTGTCTCTACTTTAAAGAGTCCTCTTTGTCCCGCCCCTTAGCCTATCACAGTACAATGTGTTGGAGCGCTACTAGACAGAGTGTTACGTAGGGGATTTTATCCTTTGCAGACCATTTACATGCATAAAAACAGGTATAACAAACTACAAGGAAAGGGAAACCCCCCAAAAAAGCATAATAGGGTGTTGGGAAAATACTGAATGTCCTCTTCCAATGTGAGAGTAGCATGATAACAAAGGTATCCCAACTGTAGCTGTGTACATGACAGGATGTATGATTACCTAGAAGAGCATCAGGACTGTTTGAGGCATATGATAGCTATGTGATTAACATGATGATTCAGCCTCTATGGAGATAGACATATGACAAGCATGCTCATTTCTGACGTGGAGCTAATCTGAACTAAACATTGAATACTGCTTTATATTCCTCCATCTTGTGACTGTGTAACTCCCTCTCTTGGATATCAGCATGTGAAGGACACTGTTCAGGAACTAGTTGATGCTCTGTATGTGATGACTACTTCCATTCTGGAGAGGATCATAAATACATGGATCCTGAGATTGAAGCTCAAGCCGGTGACCAGTGAGATTTTTCTAATATAGGGCGTCTTCAAAATCCGTGCTCTGACCTCTTCATGGTTTTGGGGGACAGGTTCTTCTCCAGGTCCCGCTCCAGGTCCTGCACTGACAGGGTGTAGGACTCAGGGCAGTAGTCGGTATCCTCGTCGTAGGCGTGGTCCAGCAGCGCCCGCGCCCACGTGCCCATATCGTATGGAGGCATCATCCCTCCCAGCTCCGAGGGCAGGATCTCCGGATGGATGAGCAGGTGGAGGCTGTTCAGGTTGTTCCCGTGCATGAAGATCTGCAGGGGGGAAGACACAGACGGTACAAAATCACTTAATATTGTACCTGATGGGCTCATTATTATTCGCTCGTTATTATGAGCCTATATTATTATTATTATTATTATTATTAATATTATGCACCGCTTTCCCCCTTCTACGACTCAGATGAGGGTGTTGCACTTTTCCTTGTGCATGTGATGTTTTGGTGTTGTTTTTTTATTGTTTTGTTTCTTTCCGTTAACTGTCAAAGTGGGAACTAAGTATTTTTTTGTACGTTTTTGTGTTTCTCTTATCTTCCAACGATACTGTTATGATTGGCTATGAATAAGAAAATATGAAGGACAGACCATCTATTTTTTTTTTTTTTTTTTTTTGAGAAAGGGGCAGGTAATTTAAGATTATTCTCTTCTCCCTGCTCCTTTTCGGGTACGGTGTGTTTATAGAGACATGTTTTGCAAATAATTATTATACATTAAGTTGTGCATACCATGAACGGAACAAATACAAATGTAATGAAATGAAATAATAAATTGCTTTAATTTGCTTAAACTAGAGGGGAATAACTAACACCAGTGGGATGTTGGTGAGATTATGACCATCCTAGGGGGTGCAAAACAGCCATACAGTAACACCAACTCTGACAGATTTAGAAACCCCCCTGCCATTTTTTTAACTAAAATGCAATGCCTTGTTACCATGCTGCTGTAACAAGACCATTCCCAATTTGGTATCAAAAAAGTACATCTAGTCTAATCAAATCTGATTTAAAAAATCATATTTCCCGTCCAGTCGATTCTGTTTTAGGACTTATTTTTGCTGATGCATTTGAGTCGGATATTTAAAATATTTAGATCTCATTTCGGTCTCCACCATCTCCTGACGGAAATATCTGTTTCTTTCGCTGCTAAATGCTCCTGTATGTTCACCAGCTTGTCTCTCATTATGTTTTAAATGCTGTCTTCTGGTGAGATGAAGGTTAACAGTCTCTTTTTGATGTCATAAATACATTCATCATAGCTGCTTTAATATCTTCTCACCCTCTTCCTGGTCTTGTCTTTGAGGAAGGGTCGTATCACGGTGTAGAGAGCGTGGATGTACCACGGTTGATTCACAAAGTGGATTCCTCCAAATCTGGCAGGATAACTGTCCTGTTGGGAGAAGAAACAAAGCAAGATGTCACAAAAGAAAAACATCCACCCATTACATCCTGACTCAGCGATTTAATAACAGGTGCAATTACTACGTCACAACAGAGAGCCCGTCTCAATCAAGAGGCTGCTTCTTTGACTTGCAGCAGGAGAAGAATTACCTCTGTGAGTTTCCTGTCCCTTTGCATTAGATTAGTTTTTGAGAATGGGTTCTAATCTCATCGTCTATAGGAAATGGTCCGGGCTATTTTAAAGTCACCGCAGATAAAAACGCCGGAGGGAAATTAGTCTTTGTTCGTACAGGTTGACTGTGTGGAGTCTGTGTTTCCTCCAACGCTGGACACCATTATCATGATTACCCTCCACTGTAACCGTGTGTGTGTGTGTGTGTGTGTGTGTGTGTGTGTGTGTGTGTGTGTGTGTGTGTGTGTGTGTGTGTGTGTGTGTGTGTGTGTGTGTGTGTGTGTGTGTGTGTGTGTGTGTGTGTGTGTGTGTGTGTGTGTGTGTGAGTCATGGTTTGGCTGTGGTCCAGCAGAAGGGTGAAATTATATTCTGACGTAACAAAGCCAGCGGATGAAAAAAGGCTGGAGGCAGATGTTTATGTAAAAGCTGTTGGCAGTGTGTGTGTGAGAGAGACAGTGAGAGTATCTGAGGACGGGACACACTCGTATGTACATTAGGATTTCACAGAGTTGAGTCATCGAGGAGAAACACAGCCAGAGGAAGTGGAACAGGACTGTTCAACACTTTGATGCAGAGAGAGAGACTGTATCTGGACTTCTATGGTCATATTTGCAAGAAATGAAATGTGAAAATTCATTTTTTTTGACATGTTATTGGTCCAGCTCGAGTGCCATGAACAACATTATCACATGCACACAAGAAGTAACACTCTCACACTAACACAGTCTGTCTCTATCTATACAGTGTACAAGGGTCACATTTTATTTGTGTGATCAGGTTTGAAGCATACTCTTTAAGTCTATCTTACAATTTAGGCATGAACCTAACAACATGACTTACGATACGATATACTTTATTGTCCCTGTAAGGACATTTGTTCTGGACCCAGTTCCACATACATGTACGTATACAAACATACAGTAGTAAACATTAAAATACATTAAAACATTATCACTCATACACCGTTTGCACACACACAAAACACAGACGCACCCACTGACAATGGCGACCTATTGCATAACCCTCATGGCCAACATTTAAGAGTATATTACATGACATGTGAGTGTTGATAAGCTTAACGGACAGAGGCAGGAATGACTGCTCTTGGGAACCCTGAATCTTCAACTTTATTAGGTAGGAGCTGGAGGTCTGAGTGGAGAAGGTGGGGGGGATCAGACACGATTTTGTGTGCCCGTCTAACAATGGACTTTGTATTGTGCAGTTGTCAAAAGAGGCCTCTGAATGCACAGCTGCTCGATGGCTTGTTGATGTAGACGCAACGTTTCTATTTTGCAATAAAAAGTAGACCATGCAGGCTAGAAGAAGCTGTCAAAACAACGATGTCTTACAGGCTATTCAGATGTAGCACTCCAGATAGGACTCAATGTGCGGATTCCAACCAAAAACCCAGCGGATCCCAGTGGCTGGGGGCGTTGCCAAATTGCTAGAGGGCGTTGCCAAATTTCCCCATTTGTTCAATTACAGGATTTAACCATGAGATGGCGCTTCATTCACAAATACACAAAGACAACTTGGTGTTGTATAACTTAATCTGTTTGCAATGTTGCAGCTCTGCAGTTCTGTTTGCTAAATACTGTAGCATTTAATCACTTATTTGTTATGGTTTTCACAGGCTGCTATAACGAAAAAACATCAATATTTTAGATCAAATAAAGCATATCTGTACTCCTCAGAAGGAAGTAAAGAGTAAATCAATTATTTGAGTCACAAATGAAATTATTGAGATCAAAATGTCACTCATATTTGTATAATAATCATGAATTGTTACATTCTCATGTTTCCTAGAGGATTTGTACCCTAGTGATGACCTTATAACATCCTTTGTTTCTACAGTAAGTCAAAAATGTTACCCATATAAGCTGCTTGTTATTTTTTTTAATAAACAATGCAAATACACTTTTTCCACCATATTTGAAGAAAAACTGTTTATGTAACTCATTCATTGAGTCATACATTCTGAATATTGGTGCAAAAATAGACCTATTTGGCAGTGTGTGATCCCTCTGACTCGGACCCCTCCCCTCTGACTCGGACAGACACTCTCACTTTGATGAAGGGTCTCGCTGCATTATACATGAAACACTGAAGACTGGATCTGATCTGAAGGACTGGATCAGGGACTGAGGGAGGAGGAGGAGGAAGAAACAGAAGCTGAAGGTTTGATCCTCCCCAGGTGAAGGAAATGGAAAAGGTGCAAAGAGAACGAGTTCAGAGAAAGATGGAGGAGTGTGTAGAGAGAGAGAAGATTACAAGGTGAAGGAGACCCAGGAGAGAGGGAGGGGTGAGACGGGTGAGAAGCAGCAGATTCAATATTAAATCACCTTCTACAATATTATTTTTGTCCTCGTAGAGTTCAGATGAAAAAAGGCCAGGTTTCCTTGAATATCTGCAAAATAAATCTAAAATCTCTTGACTTGACTTAAGTCTACAAAACTACTCTGTTGGGTTAAAAAATATAGATTTTTAGGTTAAAATAATTAATAAGGGCCAATGATTTGTAGTTAAAATATTCAGTAAATACAAAAAGGTAAAAACCAGCCATTCATTCATTCCTTTAATATCCCCTTACTATGATTATGATTTAAGTTATCATTGTTTTATTGTAATATTGATTAATATTGGGGTTGTTACCTTTTTTTAATTATATATCTTTTCTATTTATTTATTATTTATTTATACATACATATTTTTTCTGTCCCGAATTTTTTTTTTGTTAGTAAGTGTATTATTATTTTTTGATTGATGATTGATCATTTTTTATCATATATATATACCGTATATATATTTGTTTTACTTCACGTAGGAACATATGTCTTCCTCTTGTGTTATTTATTTTATTTTATGTTTATTGTATGTAAAAGGGAGGCGTGTTGCGCAGTGGACTACTATTTTTGTGAGTCACATTTTTCTTTTAACATTTAAAAGATGTTAGTTTAAGTGTCACTTATTTGCTGTTAAATGTGCGCTGTCGGGTATCACGTGCATGTCTATGCGCGTGTTGCAATGGATATAGCGTTGGTGTTCGGATCAGGGGGGCACAGGTTCAAACCCCACTGCAGTCAGCATGTCGTTGTGTCCCTGAAGACACTTCCCCCCAAATTGCTCCTGTGGGGATTGCTCACAGTATTGAGTAAGTCACTTTGGATAAAAGCGTCTAAAAGGTAACATGTAATGTAATGTAAAATAAAAAAGCACTCCAGCTTCTCTGATGTTTGCCTGCAGGCTAACGTCGATCCTGAACAGATTTATTTCCGTCCTCCTGCTGCAGGTCAGAGGGAAAAGGTTGACGAGAATGAAAGGAGACGGGAGAAAAGTCCATCGACACCGACAGGAAGACGTGAGGAGCTGTTTCCCAAAAAAATCACTTTATATACATTTAGCATTATCTCTAAATCCCCCATAATTCCCCTCTCTCCCCCGAGCGCTGAAGAGGATAAACGCGTTAGGAAAGATTTTCTCTTGGCGGTGGAAAAGCTGCGCCCACCTCCTGCTTTGTGAAAGACTTTCTCTAAGTCTGACCTGCAGGGAGGAGACGCTCTCTGTTCCTCCAGGAAATTACACTAATAACTCTTCTTCTTAAAGCTCCCCTATTATCCTCTTCTTCATCAATATGTTACAGGTCTCAGATATATACAGAGCCTGTCTCTGATTGGCTGAAACACCAAACAGATCATTGCAGCATCCCATAATCCCCTCTGTTTCAGCCCTGTTTCCAAAGTGCTGATTCTCTGTCTGTTATACTTTAGATGAAAATAAGGAGCCCCTCCCCACGCCCCTCTGAGAGAGATTTGGTTAAAAAGAACTCAATTGTGCTCTAGGAGGAGATTCAGGTGATAAGGTGGGGGGGGGGGTTACCTTGGTTGCTGATTGGCTAATGGTTACACAAGTGGGTAATAGTGTCACTTCTTCTCATGTGTTTCTTAGAAGTGAAAATCAATTAAAGCTCACCTAGTATGCTAGATTTGAACAATATATTATAGGTTTATATTACATATTATCCATCGAACCCCTGTTTTTTAGAGATGTGGGTAAGGTATTTTCTGACACTTACACACAGGGGACACATATTTATGTATAAAATAATAAAAAAGTGCGTTTTGCGTAATAAGAGACCTTTATAGATGTCATTATATACATGTTACGTCTAAAAGGGGAGTGGGAGAGTGGTTCCTCCAAACACTGACAGGGCAGGTAGTTAACCCTACCTTAGGATTAAAAAAGAAACATTTAACATGACATTTATGATGTTTTTAAATGGATGTTATCATATCAGGATTTGTAACTCATGTTTAATAAATGTTTTGATTATTTTTGCACACATTACTGCAGATATAGCTCTTAAAATGTGTATCTAGTATCATTTTGAATTTGTGACATGCTCTATTGTTATTTATTTATTGTTCCATGTCTGTTTTTGTCATGCTGTATATTTTAATACCTTTGTAACATGTATTCAAACTTGACCTGGGTCTGCCTCGTAAAGAAATTTGAATCTGAAATGACTTCCCGGTTAAGTTAAGGTAATAAATAACATTAAAAAATCCAAGGGAATTTGATATTTAATCAGCATTTTCTCTTCCCTTTCGGCTTTTTGTCAACGAAACATTGGTGAGTTATGATGAGTGTCTTGTCTTGCAGCATGAAGACATTCACTTTGGGTAAAAACAATAATAGATTTTTGATTAAACGACAATCAAAACATGCATCTTTCAGTGAAAAAAAGTATTTTCACTCCAAGATGTCAAACTCACTCAACCATATCTCGTTAATCCTTCATTGTGTTAATGAAGCTCGTC